TCCATTGGAGCATACCTAACTCCCTTCGGAACATATGGGTTTCCGATCTGTTCCAGATGAACTTCCTCTCCTTCATAGTTCACCCAGAATGCTTTGAACTTCGGCCCATGCGAAGATATGAGGAAATCGAGTTTTTCACCCGTGTCTCGTGTCTTCCGCTGGCAAATTGATATCAGACGACGGTAACAGTTTGCTCTGTTAGTGTCAGGCCAAGGCGCCTGGGGATGCTCGCAGGCAATGACGCCCACCCAGGGCAACTGGGAGAGGTCATCTCCTGCCTGCATCCCACTAAGCAGGGAGTGGCGTGAAAGACCTATTACAGATAACGGTGTGTGACCTCCTGTTATACAGGGACCCAAAATTGAGCTTAGAAAAGTATGAGGGTGCGCCGGTATCTAAATCAAGGATATTTGCTTACGCCCATATGCGCCCGGCTTTTGGGTTTGAGAGAAAATGTGGCAGGATGTTGCGTGTCCAAATATCGCGTGTGTGGAGATCATTCACCACTTTCTGTAATTGAAAGGTACGTGGTGGATAGGTTTCTCGAAAAGTGATATCTACGATTTGGTCCGGACGTGGTTTCATAAAATAGATCCTTGCGTTCATGGCAGGGGTGCCGTTGTACATTGATAAATCGTTATTCGGATAAAGCTCTGGCGAGTTGTGGCCACAAGGGGAAACTAACCGCGTTACGCCGACTTCTTTCAATTCATTCGGTAATTACAGCCAGTTGACTCGTGGTTTAATTCCCCTGTGTTGATCCTATATTCCCTGCAGAGAAGATTAAGTACAGTAAGCGAGTGAAATGCGCGGCCGGAACAGCTCAACATCATTCGAACATGTCGATGGAGGCGTGGAGCAATCTATTTGATACTGATATGTAGTAGTATACAGCCCTGAGAAATTGCTAAAACTGTCAAGGTGCGAGTCAGGTTCCATCTGCCAGGGCCTCTTCGCTGCCTTCCTGTATACGAGGGGACAGAAACCCTAGATCCACAGCATTCATTCTCTTTTTCCCCTTCGTATCCTCCGCATAATTCTCGTAAAAGTTTGTCTCATCTCTCCTTGACAGCCCAACCTCCTCTTGGTCGCCATCTCCGTCGATGCCTTCTCCCCGTCGACCAGGACCATCCCAGAAGTGGAAAGCTTGGCTGTGCACACCGTAGGAAGTCGGAACAACTTCCAGTAAGTCACCTCTCGCAATTTCAATTGCAGGTATCTCGCTCGCAGGCAACCCGATCAGATACGCGAGAAGACATCGGATGACAGAAGAGTGTCCGATAATCAAGAGGTCTTCTTTTTCACGTTCCAATTCAATCAAGATGGGTTCCAGGCGAACTAAAGCCAAAACGGATTTTCAGAACAAAGATAACACACATATATATACAAGAGGAAGTAGTATTACCAGATAAATCGTGATAGCTCTCAGCTCTGGGAGCGCGGAATGCGTATGGATCCTTGACGAATCTTGCCCACTCCTCGGGGTAGAACTTTCTCGCTTGATCGGGAGTAAGGCCGTCCCAGACCCCAGGATTGATCTCGCACATCTGCGTCTTCTCGATTACCTTGATTTTCAAAGACGAGCCAGTCGTGACTTTTGTTTCTGTCAGCTCTCCAGCTTCGTCAGTGGTTACCACATTCCGTGCAACCGCAGACTGTGGTGGCACAGTGAGATGAGAGGCAACAAGAGGGAGCTGTTGCGGAATTGAAGTGGAGTGTGTTGGGGTCAAGAATGGCCAAGCGGTGTGATGGGCACGACGCCGAGTTGATGTCCATATCTAGTGAGCTCTATCTTAAAACGAATCCGTACAATAAAGATCGAAGGCCACATACAACTAGGCGTCTATCATTAGGGTCGAACCCATTCTGCTCGAGCGATTTGGCACGTCGCTCGACCACGAACTCTTTCAGCCGCTCAGAGTATTCCCACCCAGCAGGAGAAAGATCCGAGTCGGCTTTGTAAGAATGTTCAATGAGTGATTGTCCAGACTGTCAGGATATTATGGATCAAGTGACAGCTATAGTATACTTTACTACCTACTCGAGCAAAGTAAATCATGCGGGGTCTGTTGTGGATATTCATGAGGAAGAAAACAATTCGCGACTGCTCATAGGATCAGTCATACTAGAAAAACGACATTAAATCTTCGCCTACCTGCAAATAACCACGAATGTTCTACGCGGGGATTAATTAGGTCAACCGAAATGAAAGTGCGTCGGGACATACGTTGACCATGATCTTCTCGCCCACCTAATCTCAGCCGTGCGGGTGAGCCAAAAAATGGAAGAAGATTCGTATACATGGTAACATACATTTATTATACGGATAAATGGCCAAGTGGTTTCTTCAACCGTCTCGTACGATTTTTCGCGATCACGGATTCGTTCATAGTAATCTTTCACTGCTTTGTCTGGATCCCAGCCACGATACTACACCAGATTCAGCAAAAAGGTAGCCGAGAAGGTGAGGGAGCTCACATCAGGAGAGGATATCTTGACGTTCCGGATATTAGTCTCTATAATCTCTTTGTTATCGCACACAGACTCTACATCGAAGGAAAATAAGCGACTGTTGCCCAATGAACATGGTGAGACATACCAAGGATGATCACATGAATTCCCTGCTTATCGTACTTCTCTGCCAAGGCCTGCCGCGTAGTTCGTGAACCATTATTGGCATCATAAATCACGACCTGTCCACCGGCCCCAAAGAAGTCCTCGATGAGCTTTTCGCAGCCATCCGACACCATCTTGCGCAATGCCATAGTCTCTGGACTCTTCTCGCCTGTTGCCGGTAGCAATTCATATGGCAGGGCTTGGAATAAGTATTGAATGTATGCGCACCTAACGTGAAGTAATCTGGCGGCAGTTTCTTGGCACCACCAAGGGTCTTCCGTCGATAGTCACCCAGAGATACGACCTGAGTCTTCACGCCCATCCATCTGAGATAACGTTCGAGCGCGCGAGAAATATGTGTTTTGCCACGAGCGGGTAAGCCAACTGTTAAGATGAGAATCTTTCCAGCGTGAAACAGCAAGCCTGAAGCTGTTGTGTAGAGGGGTGCCGCCATGCTTCGATGCTTCAATCACTTTGGATATACGTACTACCTCGCCTGATGGGGATTGGCGTTGGTACACTCGAGGAAAGGTCGATATCCATTTACGCAGTCACTTATCTTATCTCCCACGGCAATTAGGTTTGGTACTTAACGTTTTACTTAACCGAAAATTACAGTACGGCACCACTTCATATCATTCCTTCCAGCTTCATCAGGCAATTCTAGTATCACGTTCACCACATCTCTCCTCGCCTTCGACAATCCACTATCCGTAAGATCGAGCTCTGTCGACGCGTCTGTACAGACAGCGTAATTAAACTTTCTTCGTCAGCGTCATGGCCGAGTCAAGCACACCGACAACACGGAGAGATAGAAAGCAAGAGGCGATGTTGAACTCACCGGTAGTTAGCGCACCCCGTCAGATGAAGGAGAAAGATCCGCCACCCATGTGGTGCACAGTATCACCAAGATGTACTTTGGGAAGGCAAGGAATTCACCGGTTGTGTTGGTCCGAGGACGGCGTACACATTTTCTCCGCGTCGTATGATGGCACCATCCAAAAATGGCGGTCGGTTGATGGGAAGGAGCTCGTTGTTTCTCAGGGCTATGTCGATGCTGTCAACTCACTCCATCTTTCCCATGATGAGAGCCATATTTTTGGCGCAGCACTGACTACTCAGTTCGCATCTGGGACCTCATGACCAATCAGCCAGTCGGAGACCCACTCTTGCACGACGACAAAGTTTGGGCTGTTTCCATGTCCCTTAATGGTGCCCTGCCTTGGATGGAAATATATATGTATGGCACCTAGATGCAGCACTCAAAACTACCGACAACGGTCATGTGAGTATATTTATTCATTGTTAAGTGGCTTTCTGTTGCCGTTCAGAGTGTGGATGAAAGCAATGCAAAACCCGATGCAAAGCTGAAGGCAAGTCGTCTGCGTTTTCCTCTTGTGCTGTATCTCACTTCTCTACCAGGGACGTTTTGTTAGATCTTGTATGCTAGTCATGTCTGCAAGCAGCAACCTATCAACAGAGGCCTGTCGAGATATGTCAGTGCAGTTTTTGTTCCGAAGCTCTCACAAGTCTGACAAGTGGTATAGGGCAACGACTTCTGATACCAACTGCTCATCGTCTACCCTTCGCTGCGTTTTAGCACTCGACCTCAAAATATGCCACGATCAGTACCGCTCAAGCCCCGGCGTTGGAATTTCAACTTATTTCCAAGAGAAAAATCCACGCATTGTCGAAGTAGCAGCCGGCTGCAAGAAAATATAAGCGGCTTCCATCGCTCCTTTTTGATATGGTGGAAATTAATACATTTGCAAAGAATTTCTGTTTCTCCTCCCACCGCAACAGAATTGGCCCGCGCAGCAGCAGCTGCATACGAGTTGCATTGAGGCTGGTAGTTCGATGCAAGGAGCTGTGTCGGGAACACAAGTGTCTCAAGAACATCCGATGTAACGGGAAGGACTGAAAGGGGAACCGAGGCCAGACCTCTATAGCGGGAGGCTACGGCTTTCTCTATCCAGGACTGACTACGACACAAGCGCAGGACTACCGACCACGGACACCGACGGAAACGCATCCAGGTCAATCTTAGGCTGCGTCAGGGATACAAGTGTTTCAAGGACACCCGATCACAGCGCAAGGTGCAGGTGGTGGGGTGGGAGATGTTTCTTGTGAAGCAGTGAGCTGCTGCGTATTTTTCTTTGGAGTTTCCTTTAGTCGTCGTCGTCGCATCTCACATCAGTCATGAGGCCATTAAAATAGTACTTAGTATTGTTATGTATTCCAGTGGAGAATGAAACCAAAAAGAAACTTAGCTAGGCAAGTAAATGCTGGGCTGAGAATTTCCCATTAGCCGACTTGAACGACTGACCTCGTCATTACTAGTGACGCGCTCTACCAACTGAGCTAAACGGGACACATTCCTTTGAGGCGCTCATGCAATCATATCCGCTTGGCTCTTTAATAGTGCACTATAAGTACTAAGTGTTAATGGTCGTCTCCCCAGGCAGACAGACCAAGTATTACACAAATGAAAACAGTTATTCCTTCTATGTCAGAGCCTACTGCATGGCTCCTCTCACTGCTCCTGCGTAATGTAACGTTGCTTGCCACCACACCACCATCCCAAGTCCCAGCAGACCGTGAAATGTACCCCATACAACCTCAGGTGTAAGATTCACGCTATAAGGTGGTCATTCGAATCACCTTGGGAGAACAAGTAAAAGAACACGCACGACTCTAAGAAGGGGCCTAGGGTATGAGGAATGAACCTGGGAGTCTGAAACAGAATGGTTGATACTACGCTGTGGTAAACGCAGAATCCTATTGCGAGTGCACGCTTTCCGGGAAGAAATTCTGGTTGGGAAACGTTATTCGCTTCATATTTCTTGAAGCAGCGCGCGGATGATACCTGGTAAAGGATATGCCAGGAAAGCGGTAATGCAGGATCCAGTGACCAACGCGGAATACAACTGGGTGGTGTGAATAGCTATACGCGTGATGTATCTTGAGATAGGCAAACCTTTAACATGACTACCGTGGTGTTGTTCATCTGTAGAAAGGGAAGGCTCTGTGGGGACCAGAACGCCTGGAGGGCCAGCGGTGCCTCCAACGCGATATGCAGCAAGAATACAGCAGATCTACTGAATGTCAAACGCATCTTTGGTATAACGGAGCCTTACTCACAACGGGCTACGTGCAGCGTGCACAGACATGATGAATCTGAGAGTGACAACTAGTCCTGTGAAGTGGGACTGAGCAGATGGTAAACTTCCCACTTAAGTTCGTTACGTAAGCAAGGTTGGCTTATCTGCTTGGTGCCTGAACTGAGAGACGCTTGGAGTTAACATGCATGGCTCAAAGTTACAAACCCACGACTGAGGCGGGTCTTTCCGAAGGATTTTCGCGGTCAATCACCTTGTTTTAATTTAGCAAGGTCGCCGATCAAAGAAATAGTCTCCTGCCTGCAAAAGGATTATATTCCCCGAGGATAGGCTGCACACCTGACTTATAAGTAGTTTGATTGATATTCCAGCCGATAGTCCACTCGATTAAACCTTTGTTCAGAAACAATAACTATACTATACATATTTTGACAAGGGAATTAGTTGGCATAGACCAGCAGCCTACCCTTCACCCTTCACTCTTCACCATCGTCTGCATCGTCCCCCTCCGCAACGGCACCTAGTGACGATTGGCGGAAAGTCGAATAAGCTTCAATGGCATCCAGATCCTGTTCTAGATCTATGTGTTCCCCTCCAGCAGCATCTCCAGCAATAGCACGCAGTCTCAATACTTCTTTCCTCAGATTCTCTATTTCGCTATCTCGACGCTCTACCCGACCTTTGAGCGTTCGAATAAAATCGTTCCCGCATCTGAGCAGCTGCAGCTTGCTGACAGCTTTATTTGGACCATCCCCACCAGCTTTTGGTGGTCCTCTGGGGGGTAAAGCACCCGGAAGGATCGGTTCATCAGGAAAGTTCTCATCGGAAGGCAGCGGAACTGGTGGGAGCAAAATACGCAAATCGTCATATGCAGTCTTCAGCGAATCACGGCGTTTTTGTTCGGCGTCCTTGTGCGACTTGCGATTAGGAACAGGAGGTGAGAGTGCAGAAGAGCCCGCATTTACGGATGATGGCGTGCCAGCTGTTAACACGAACAGAATTTCACACCCAACATTTCGACAAAATTTAGAACAAGAGCGCACCTGGTAAGATCGGCTTAGGACCAGGATTGATGAACGGCAGTGTGCCCTTCCTGAGTCCTTTGGTTGGTGCACTGTTATCAGGCGCTATCCTGGCCCTAGCTGGTTCTTTTACCCTATCAGCTTTCTGGGATGTGGGTGCTGCGGCAGTAGTGAGACTACTGCTAATACCCAGACGGCCAAGATTCATTATGCTTGCGGGAGTGACCGGAGTCATTGGCGATGTCGCTTCAGGAGTGCTCGGTGCTGCAGAATTGGAAGGAGATTGGCGCGGTCCTGGAGGCGCGGGGGGCGGCATCGACAAGTCGACAGGTGACGGTGAATCTGTCTCCATGATGGTGCTATTCCTGCGGGATTTGGTGGAGCGTAGAAGAGGGGTATTTGTGGCGCTCTTGGCATGCCTAATGGATTGTCTCGCTGTTGACGCCGGGGAAGCCGTGGAGGGTCCCCGCTTTCGCACCGCACGCGCCGCATCTTCTGCACTTGGGGATATCGTGCGCTTATTTGGGGAACGTTGGTTATGGTATGCCTCAAGCCAGGGGCTCGTCAACGGAGAAATGTCAATGTCAAGGTCTGGAGGTGGTACGGGAGGGCTCATGTGATGAAATACTATGTTGGCAGGTGCAGAGCTAGAACCTGGATGGCGCGTGTCGCGAAGATATTGCGGGGAGACAGAAACGTCATGGGGAGAGGGGAGGGAAACAGGGTCAAGCGTATGGGACGAGTACACGTCCTGAGGAGGATTGGGGTATTGTGAGCCAATACGGTCGATAAACTCTGGGTTAGGCAAAGGACGGAGCTCCGTGGAAGACACTACGATGATGATGAGGGTTGAATCTGGAGGTAAACCAAAGGAATCTCACTTGGAGTCGGAAGCCCACTAAACGATGCAATCTGATCCCTTGCGGGCTCGACGCTGGTATCATGCGTATTCAGGGCTGATTGTCCACTGATAAGGGCGAGCTGATAAAGATTATACTTCAGCACGATGTTGAAATCACGCTATTGTGCATCTGCACCAGACAGAGTGGGAGCGTGTGACAGAACAGGGGTGTTGACTCACCTGCTGCTGAAAAATTTGATTCTGAATTTGATTTTGAAGCTGCTGCAGCTGGTGCAGCTGAGCAAGCTTGTACTGCTGTTCAAAAATGACCTGAGGGGTGAGGCTCGTGGAACTGGGCAAGGCCGGAAGCGACGTGCTGTCCATGCCCTGCATAGACATGAGATTGTTCATAGCCATAAGATCTAATTGTTGATTGAAAGGAGGAGGGTTGACGGTTCCGGTAAAGTTGAGCATCCCAGAATTCGATCGTTGACCATGCACAGCAGCTGCGTTCATATGAACTTCGTTCTGCTGAGAGTCATGGCCTCGTTGTTGGTCAGAGGAAGATTCCGGAAACAGGAAGGCCAAGAAGTCCTTCTGAAGGTTGTTATCTTGACGACTTGAGTCCATTTTCCTGGTGTGATACAGAAAACTTGCAAAGAGCTTTCAGGATCGTCTGTGTCACAGAGAAGGACAAAACGGCAAATTTAGGAACAGCGCTGTCTTTCCAGGACAGAGAACGAAAGCAAAAATGGAAAATCTAATCTTTCAATCACACACTAACAACCCCCCCAAATCTATTTTCATATTACATCAACCCCTCCGCTTATTATATAATACATTTTATTAGCGACTCGCGTTCTTTGTCGACGCGACTGACCTTGCACCTCCCCTAGTTTGCTATCAGCCTATCACTAGATTTTTGAATATCATGTCTGCACGAGACCGTCCTCAAGCACGTATCACTTCTTACCATGGCGCAAAGCGGAATCTTCTCGGAAACCAAGCTGGAAATGTGCCACCTGCATGGCGGGATAGCAAGGACAAGCAGAAAGAACGAGGAAGCAAGATTCTGCTCAGCAGGCTCCCTGTAGATGTTGGAGAAACAGAAGTCGAAGTGCGTGGTCATCCCAACATCCACCTGAAAAGCACAGACCACAAGCCACTGTTCATAGGAACTGTTCAAGAAGTCCATAGGTCCTTTGAAGGAGTGCTTTGTGATATACAATACACAAGGGCGCTCGAAAGGGATGGCGGTAATAACGTTCCAGCGCCCAGGGGATGCAGCCGCAGCTCGTGAGAAGTATGACGGTAAACTCATCGACGGCAGTAAGCCATTTAAACTCGCTCCTCTTGTCCATTTGGCCCGTTTATATGGATTTTGTGCCTAGGACGTCCAATAAAGATCGAAATAATTGTTGATTCGGATGATGCCGCACGGTCTACACCTACATCTGCAGTTCCTTCGCTACTAGGACGCATCGGGAATTTCGCGGGTACTCCTAAGAGTGGCCCCTTTGCTCCTCGGAGTCAAACACTGAACACAAGCGTCTCGCCCGTGTAAGATATTCTTTTTAACTAGTTTGCTGAATTTATTGATGGAATCCGATTTTTCAGGCCCCTTCAAAAAATCGTACTGTCACCGCGCACTGTTCAGACTGCTGGAACGAAAGCCGTATCAAGGCGCCGCAGGAAGGGCCCACGACGCATAAATAAGTCAAATGTTTCCAAAAAGTCAGTTGCTGAACTGGACCAGGATATAGAGGAATATAGAGCTGCCGCTGGTGGTCATAAAGAGAGCGGTGACCAGTAGTTCATGCGTCTTTCCCTGAGAAGTCTGGGCGAACATATCACCGATCCATCCCCCTATATTGTACAACTCGCTATTCGTTTGAGAGCCGGACTATAATGAGATAATTTAATTGGTTTCTCCAACCCGCCGTCCGGATTTTTTTGTGCAAGACTTTTTGAAATATTGAACACCCATCAATTAAGTCGACAATCCTGTTCGGCTACATAACTCTACTTGTTCTGTGCACCTGTGTGGAGCAGAATTTCGAGAGGACCCGCACTACGGTACCTCCTAACCTTTTCCTAGCCCCAGTTTTGTTGGATATTACGACCGTGGTCTAAATACATACCCTTTATAAATGGATCGGGAAGATGCGTCACACCGGTTTTGACATACGTATTTGAAGGCAACCCATTTGTATATTCCTTTGTGAAAGTGGTGAGGACTATGATCTGTTTTTCCCGGAAAGGTCGAACCCCCTCGGAGCTCACTAGCGCTCACATATCATCCGCTCTTGAGATTTCCGATGGGAGGTTATGCCCCGCTCCATGTGTTCCCTACAGGTGATATTAATGTGTCTTCGCACGGCATACCGGAAGGTCCCGTTGAAAAACAATACAGTGCGGTACTTACAAGTAGCAAAAATCCAGCCACAGCGCAGCAATATGTCACCTTTCGAACAGCCAGCCATCTGCCCTGAGAAAACTCATGTGAGCCAGGTGGACCCATCCCTGGATAGTGATATGTGTGTAATCAAAAAAAAAATTAAGGAGGCTGTACCACATTGAAACCGAGATCTTTGGTCTATTAATCTCGCACTCTGACAAATATTATTGTGATCCCAAGATGGATGAGAGCATACTGGGTGGCAACATCCGGCACTTCGCTGGCAGCGCCGGACACCAAGGATAGAAGCAATAGGCGGGGATGTGTTTCTACCCCGCCGTATTATCGCCACTTTCCCCTAAACCGATAATCTGTCAAGAAACGCCAGTGCCACAATAAGTAGATGTCGATAAAGTGCAAAAGCGGTCGAGACTCGTGACGAGACAATTCAATCCACATCACGTTGTCTCGAAGTGTTGTAACCCGGGGCGGTCGTCATGCAACAACTCGCTTGTTCTGGGGCCAATGACGTTTCGTCGAAATCAAAGCAAAGCAAAAACAAAAAGTGAGCCGGGCGTTGTCTTTTCAGGACCATTTAATATCCTTCATCATCGGTAAGGGTTTTGAAGGGTTTAACAGGTCAAGGAACCAGTGACCTCTGTCGCAAAAATTTCCTGCTTGATTGGTCGCAGGGAGGGCTACACCAGACTGCTGAAAACATGCCGCAAGCATATTGTTTCGCAGGATATCGCCTACGAGAGTAAACAGTATTTATTTTTAAAAAATGTGTCACCTGCACTATTGTGTTCCGCCTGAAACTCGGCAAATTCTTGTACAACACGCGAGCCGCACGCTAGCCTCGAGGCTGTGATTGGCGTCCTTCAAGATCTGTCTCATTGAATTTTAGTGAATAAGTGAAGTCGACTTACGTTCTCCAAAATGAAGGTCCACGTTCATTCACGTGTATCTGCTCCACCATGACGGAAGCAGAGAGTTGCTTAGGTATTAGGCCTCGTTGTGCCCCATAGGGAAGTACATCGTCGCGGAGTGATGGATTCTCCAAGCACACGCCATAGGCGTGTGTCAGTGCGTGATTTACGGTGGTAAAGAAGACCTACTGAAAACTACAAAGTAGGCCAGATCTAGAGCTAGTGCGTAAATTAGCGACCGTCTTAATAATTCGATTAAAAGGCGCGCTCGACAACTACGGCATGCCGCAATAACGCCGTGAGGCCCATCCGTTTGTCGTGGAGGATGCGCGGGAGGGACTCGGGATCTGGAAGGACCTTCTTTGTTCTTCGGGACTTGAATGGATCCTAACGGCGAGTGCCCGGATGCGGCGAGCCGTAGGGATATTTTTACTGGGACCACCAGTAAGCACCTATCAAGAATCAAGATGCTGTGGAAGCTCTGTTAGCAAAATCAGCACCATTCAGGGGATGTTAATTTCATCTGATTGCGATGGATAAGAGTATTATAACCAATCTTAGTTCACAATAAAGCAAGATTAGAAACATGGCGGGAGCGCAGTTCCTGGAATGTTCCCAGACCATATCAGCGTTGGACCAAAAACGTGCAAGGCTGCACAGCAGCTGCCACATCAGGCTGTTTGGTCGAGCTCAAGAGGGAAAATGACTTATATCTTTTGTTTGGGCTACTGGTCTGGCGCAGGCCGGTGACCAGGATCGTACAGAATGATCATTTTTCTAGGGACTTCCAAGGAAGCGTGGAAGGTTCCGTGATTGATATGGTTGTGGTGTGGAAGAATCAACGATGATTTGTTTGTGGGTGCTTATCCTTTTGCCGTAAGTGTACAACAAGCAATGAGAATTACTTTAAAACACGACTCCGCTGCGCCTCTCTTTTATACCTCCCCCTACTCCATGCCCCTCTCAACAACAATTCGTTTGGTTCCCCACCACCAACCAATGTTTCTGGCGCATAAGCGGCAACGCCGCACCGCTACTAGTGTCCTCGCTGGCGATTTCGATCTTCGACCTCCCCGGGATGTGCTTACTAGCCTACTCAATGGCGTAGCACCTTACAAGGAAGTTGAGAAAGAGGAAGAGACGCGTAGAACAAAAAAGAAAGAGAAGAGGGAACGTCTGAAGGAGAAACAAAGGACAAAAGCGACCCCCAAGGTTCCAGAGAAACCTATCAAAGTGGAGAGTGCCACTGCACCTCCACCTGCGCCCATCGTAGCTATCCAATCAATCAGTGCCCCTGCCGTGCAGACCTCTTCTTTCTGGCGTGCCCGCGGGACGAGTCACCGACCTACTATACACATTGCGACCATGCAGCGCTCTGTATCCGTTACACCGCCCCCAATGGCATCTTCCCCACAGACTACCCCCGGACCGTCAGTTTCTTCGGCTACATCACGTACATCATCGAAGCGCCCCCGCACGCCTGCAGATGACTACCCCGATTCTGATGCCTTCATCCATTACAGAAGCGCTCCACAACCACGGAAAAAAAGAATTGCTGTGAAGAAGGGCTGGAAGGGCTGGGTGGAGGGTTCGCCAGCGCCGTCCGAGAAGCTCATCAATCTAGATGCAGTTCCTGTGCTACAGGAGAGACGCACACGCAGTGGCAAAAGTTTCGACGCAATAGGTGTTGGAAAGGATGGTTGGGTATAAATGGTCTGATATTTCACCGCCTTCCTTGCCGCTGTAAAATATGATCTGATGGGCGTTCTACAGCTCCTTACACACAGCATCATACCCCTGCCCTTCTCATCGCGATGCCTTTTGAAATCACACTGATACCAGCCCACGGGTCGGAAGGATTTCGTCCGAATTGCAACTTACCCCCTTTGGTATATTCCCCACCATCTTAACTGGTTCCTTACACCTCTATTTCGCTCATCTCAATAACTATAGCTACAGTATATGCACACATATATCAATTTTGGTCCTAGTTCTGTATTTGTTGTACCGCCTGGTTTTAACACTCAATCTTGTCGTCTTCCGTTGTTTGGTCGGGTGTCATGGTGTTGGCTTTCTTTATCTCGCTACCAGCCTTTCTGGGTATTCTTTGCTAAATATATGTATGTATGATGACCGATTTTGATGTCGGCCGATGAATGAAATTCCTAATAATCTGGGATTTTGCTTTCATGGTATCCAGTTTGCGAGCAGCATCGTATCCACAACTTGAACGGATGTCTCATGCAAGGAACTGCCCGATCCAAACTGGGTCTCCCTGCAATCGCGGAAGTTTCGTCAATATTTGCACTCACCAGTCGTAGTGATTGATTGTGCCGAGATGCCGGAGGCTTTAGAATTCAATAAAACCAAACAACCATGTTCATTCTAAGCAGTGTATGTACTTCGGTAATCTTTTTGTCACAAACCAACATCACACAACTGGAAGATCATAACAGCTAGTTCAATAGGACAACTCTCATTATAGGCGTTGCGTTGCTTATCCTGCATTCCAATTGTCTCAGGCTACCGCGGAGCCCGCTTCCCTCCATTTTCCCGGACCATACTCCGGTCAGAAGCCATCAGCCCGTTTTGCTGCCGACTGAATTCACAGTATTGTATCTAATTAACGGTTAACTCAAAATGATGTCTGTCATGTCATTTCCTGCACTTCCATCCCCACCGTCATGGTTCCCTGGGCACATGAACCGATTCACGAAGCAGCTTCCAGCACTGCTGTCCCGTACAGATGTTGTCCTGGAGCTCAGAGACTCTCGTCTGCCTCTCACTAGCATCAACAACAATCTAGAAGGTAAGGTTATCTCCTCCGGCCTACCTATTATTCGGTCCCGGTGCGTAGCCGTTTTGAGAAAGAAAAACATTATCTTGGTCTAGTTCCAGTTCCACCCTATAATTGCTTCCGCTGTCACCTATGTGACTATTTTCTTATCCAGAACTTCCTCCGTTCTTGCCCCGTTCTGGAATCACCCTATTTTACGACGGGTAGCATTATCGGCCCTGATACATTCTATTTTTGACAGGTGCTATCAACAAATGGAGGGCCGAGCGGGGCCACCACTCCACCCATGTCGCTCCTATTTCTCCCACTACATCTAGGAATTCGTCCCTAGGATATGGTGGCCCAATCTGCGAACGTATCGTGGTCTTAAACAAGCGTGACTTCGTCCCTGAATGGGGTGTCGAGGTAATTTCTTGCCTCCCCTGTTCATCGTGCTGTCTCATTCCCCTTTGAACGCAGCCCTTTAAGAGAGCCATGAAAACAAAATTTCCTGATCAAACGGTGCATTTTGCTTCTTGTAATAAACCGCGAGACATAAGATCCCTGAGCGAGATGCTCATAAGTATGTGGCTGATTTCCTCGACATGTCTACCGTGTTTTTCTTGGCGCAATGGAGCTGACGAAAAATGTAGATATAGCCAAGAGGAACCCTCATGCAACTGAGATGAATGTCCTGGTGATTGGCATGCCTAATGTTGGCAAATCAACATTATTGAACTCCCTTCGCAATATGGGTATCCCAGGTCGTGAGTTTCAATCATACATTGGCCCATCAAAATGAGTTAAGCACATACACGCAGGGACGCCAAAGGCACTACAAACATCTGCACAGCCTGGCCATACACGCGCCATCTCTACCCGGCTTAAGCTCTCAGAAGATCCGCTCGTATATTCATATGATTCGCCCGGTGTAATGCTACCATTTCTTGGGAGAGGTGATCGGGGTGCAGAGCGAGGAGTCAAGCTTGCCCTCATAGGTAAAATGTATTCTATCACCGGTGCACTTTTGGCTGAAACATACTTCACCGCAGCCGGCATTAAAGAGAGCTTATATGACATCGAAGCGCTTGTTGCATACTTGCTGTATAGGCTGAACGTGCTAAATCCTATTTGTGTGTCTGCTCTGCTGTACTGTCACTACCTTGCGGTTCTGACACGTTAGACATATAGCGCCAGCATACTTGACACTTCTCCCGCCTGGTTCACGTCCATTTACAGATGCAGAAGATTTTTTGGAGCAACTTGCGATGCGGCTTAATATGCTGTTACGAGGGGGCGAGAAGGATACCGTGAGAGCAGCGAAGTGGTTCGTAGAATGGTGGCGCAATGAAGGCGGTCTTGTATCTGCTTCGGTTCCAGAAAAGCTTCCGACGGGGTCGGATGGATTTCATGCACCGTTACTGCGACGTGGATGGGGTTTCGATTTCGAATGGACGGTGGACGCGTCTATAAATTCTACCGGCGGAGATTTTGAAACGACGGTGCAGATGAAAATGGAAGAGTGCATAGATGAATCAATCAGGGCAGCGAGCGAGGACGAGCGGTCAGGAGTTGGGATTAGTACAACCCAAGAGAGGAAACGTAGCTGGCAGGAGAAGCAGTCCATGCGTGCTGCGAAATCCAAGGCGAAGTTTGCTGCACGTAAAGCTGTATAATTATCCACGGTGTTTTCTACGGCACCCTACATTGCTTATGGTTTATTTGTAACCATATATTGTGTTTAGCTGCGCACAATGACAACGCACCCAAATATCACTGCAGACACGTTGCCGCGGTGATCCGCGTGGTTCGGGGTGCAAAACTCGGTATACCCAACAAAGGCGATATTATATACACATGTACGACTACGACGTGACAGGTATGTGTATCCTAAAAATCCAAATAATCCTTCCCTGTCCCCCAGTTCTGCGCACTTGCGCCCGTCGTGCCATATGGGTCCTCCGGCACATTACCCTCAGTCGTCTTGAAGGAGAACTCTCGCTTGAACTTTGCCTCAAGCGAAGATATTGTGGCAATGAGTTTCGTACAGGCTTGCTCCAGGACAGCTTGCGGCGTCATGGTCCCATCCGTCTGAATTTTCAACAGGAAATAGGGATGTAGTGGATGAGGTACTTTGTATCCGGCAAAAAGCACTTGAGGCATCGAAAGAACTTGTCTGGAAGACAATTCACACACTCCAGGAGGTAGAACACGGGTGCTTAGTAGAGACGTACGCGCGAATCATGTTACCCAACGTGTGGTCTTGCTTCACGATCTTGAAAGTGGCTGCATTGGGTATTTTGGTGTCTTCAGTGACTTCGACACTGTGACCCATCTGTCAAGCGTCTGCTTTAAGATGCAATTGCAGAAACGCACGGTTTCTCGCCGTCTTCGAGGACAAAGAGCTCAAATCTGTTTGGCGCGTTCATAATGGCTGTAAGGAAGCACCGTGGAGACTCGTATAAGCTCGCAGTGGCGAGGGAGAGACACGGTAGTCACGAACATCGTTCAATTCAACACAGTATGCGATGACAATTATCACGTAGAGCCCTGCTTTTTTCTCCTATGCTCGCACTTACTATCACTGTCTTGGCCAGCAAACGTGTGTATATCTGGAGTAGAGGTCGTCAGAACCTCGAAACAAGCGCAAAAAGTATCAGGAAACGAATTGTGTCCATAAGAAAGATTTTTCTTAGACATTACATCAATACATAGATAGTACCAAAGACCACCATTCGCGTGCTGATTGATGATGAAACTCACCCCAAGGATATGCTACAACGCCCTGAAAAGATTAAGGCCGTGAAGGTGGTACAGGTAGGGGTTTGGCGCAAAGCCGACTTTTGAAACTCCGCTATAACTGCCGACAGTCCTGCATCGAGAAACTTAGCGGCAAGGTCACCGATATCAACACTCGCGCCTCAAGGTCAGTTCATGCTCGTTTATTACGCCCCGTTTATCCAGCAGGAGATTATACGCGACCGGAGCTGTCGAATGGAGGTGTCGTGGTGCTGAGAGACGATGTCTTGCTGCTGGATGCATGGGGCCCGACTTGGATGCATCAGATTATTGATATTGGATGCTTGGTTTTGCAGAAAATGCCGACCCATCTCTCGAAGACTCGCAAGCACCGTGGCCACGTCTCTGCCGGTCATGGTCGTGTTGGAAAGCACCGTAAACATCCCGGAGGTCGCGGTCTCGCTGGTGGTCAGCACCACCACCGGTGTGTTTGATTTGATATCAGGCTATTTGCAGCGAATTAAATTTGATCACCCTCAGCACCAACTTCGATAAGTACCATCCTGGTTACTTCGGTAAAGTTGGTATGCGCCACTACCATTTGACCCGCAACGCACAATGGCGGCCTATCATTAACGTTGATAAACTATGGGCGCTTGTGCCTGAAGCGGAAAAGCAAGGGTTGACGGAGGACTCTGAGGTTGTTCCTGTCATTGACACCCTCCAACATGGCTATGGAAAGGTGCTTGGTAATGGACAGTGAGTCGTGATCTACTTTGATCTCGTATAAATTCTGACTTTGAAGTAGACTGCCCAAGCTTCCTTTTATCGTCAAGGCACGTTTTGTCTCGCAGAAAGCAGAGTATGTTGAACGCATTCCCTCATTCCTGAGAGTATACTCACGCAGTGCACAGAGCTAAAATTAAGGAGGCTGGCGGTGTCGTGTCGCTAGTGGCATAGGCTCCGAGTCCCATCATCATTGTTTTTTTTCTTTTACCTATCACACACCATGATACTATTATGACATGCTGCAATAAGAACGCCCATGCCTGAAACATGATAATTAATTGTGAATGGTGAAGTTGTACATGAAGATTGAAGCCAAAAGTTTGAAAGGATAGCTAGAGCAGACGAATTTAGAATGATGGTCGGTATGAGCATCGGCTTTTTCCCACAGTAGGAGGAAGTTGCCTACATGCTGCGCTTCTTCATCCTAAACCCACGAGGATGGCTTCCATCTCTACTTGGTGTAAGAATTGAAACCCTGCCAATCCATTTCTATCCCTATTAATCATATAGCGCCTTGTAGATCACAATCAGTATTCAACTTGGAATCGCACTCGTCGTCTTCACGCTACTCCTTTCCTAGCTCGCACCGATACCCACACATCTCGTACTGCTACCTCCATGGCTCGCACAAATACACAAGATGCCGTCATCATCAACATGGGCGACAATTCATCCAAGAAGGAGAAGAAACAGGAGACCCTCTTCGGGCCCAACATTGGCGTCGTCGGCTCTACACCCCAGTGGGCTCAATCCTTGGGACAAAAGACTCCCGCAGACAACGTCTCTTCAAATATCATCCAGAACTGGATTACAAGGAGCAAAGAGGTGCTTCAAGCATTGTCCGATGTCCCGTCTTATGTACTGACTCATGCACAGCCTTCACAGCCAACGACTACTCTCCAGGCGTTGGTTAATCTCAAGCGGCCCACACTCCGCTTATGTCCTTTGATCATCTCATCGGGAGATGATTCGGACCAAGTCGATTCTCACCATAACCATGGTTTGGAATTCGAATACGATTGCGACGCAGCCAAGTGTCGCATAAACGTTAGTGTGGTGCTACCTGCAGACCACCCCTATGCAGAGACCATAGATAGCACAGGCTACTCGTGCATCTCCGTTTTCGAATCCATCGTTGACGGTGGTTTTGGTAAAGTATTGCATCTAGATGAAGGTGCAACCCTCGAATTAGGAAGGTTTGAGCACAAACATACCGAAGCAGAGACCGCCTCTTCCCAGATTACCGGGGTTCCCGAGTCGTCCCGAGCAGCAGATAGTGTTGACTCCTCCGCTCCTGCTAGTGGTAGGAACGACCGTGTCCGGAAACGCTTTACGGGATTCAATTTCCGGAAGCGCTCCACTAGCACGTCTGTATCAGGACCGGCGCTTGCCGTTGTTGATGCAGAAGTATCTGCACCCACAGTTGAAGGGAGTGAAGAGAAAGGGGACAAAGAAGAGGTGAAGGATGGCGTTCGAGTCACTATCCGGTTATCAGCGTTGGACGAGGACGGTACCGACCTGTCTGTAGTCAACGAGCAGATAACATACCTCCACGTCGTCCGTTTTGGCACTACGCCCGATGATGAAAAAGAAGACACCAGGTCCTGGGTCGTCAAGGTTGTGAAACGTGAAGCCACAGTGCGTTTCGTATTTGGTCACTCTATACTTTTTTATTTTATGATTCGTAGATTGGACCTCACACGTTCCACTTGCACGAGATCTATGGTCTTTCCTCTCAGTCTACTTCATCCTCTCAACCACATGCGGCTTCTTCCACATCGGACGCACATACTTACCCGCCCACGTCTGCATCCGCAGCGCCTATACACGAGGATGAACCGTCATCTGAGTGTTTACTATGCCTTTCTTCCCCACGTGAGGTTATTCTACTCCCTTGCCGCCACCTCGTCGCATGCAAGGAATGTGCCATTAATATGGTCGAATTCGGTGCTGGCGGCAATATTATCCACACTGAAGAAACCACAACTGCACCCGCAGGTGGTGAGGCTTCAGCTACAGAAGGCTCTGCTCCAGCTCCAGTACCCACCATGATCGCTCAGAACATACGGAGAAAGCGAAAGGCAAAAGGCTGGTTTTGCCCCGTCTGCCGTCGACGTAAGCTGCATATATCTTACTTGCCTCTCGCCTGACATATCGTGCACATATCCAGCTTACACCTCGCTTTTACGGATTTCAACGACACCTCCGACGAAGGATATATCCGACGATGAACATCGTGCGTCCATCGATGAGCACGAGCATGAGGACGACGAACATGAGCACGAACACGAACATGAACGTGAGGATGAACACGACGACGACCCTCTGGCAACCGCGCCGCCGGCACCTGGCGGTATGTTCAATAGCATCCGTTCAGGCCTCATGCGTCTGAGCGTGGCGCGTTCTGACGGCGAACATACCGCCGAGGCCACAGAAAGTGAGCACCCTGCAGAGGTGCCCGCGTCAATTGTTTAGAGTCCCACGGCTTGTCCAGTATTATATGTGATGTGTAGGCTGATCTAGGACTTCATATGATTTTGGTCGTGTTTGTGGCTGGCTGGCTATCTCCGAACACTCATTATTGTTTTTACTCTGATTACTCGTATAGTTTATGTGTAGTTTCATTTCACTCTAGGATCTTTCTTGTACCGATACCGTATTCTAACTTATCGGATGTAAAATGACATAACCTGTATACGAATCGTCTGATATTCTCGTCGAATAAGGACAGGGGGTGACATAGTGTGCAAGTCTCGCCGCGTCACACCACAAGCCGCTCCGTAAACGCCCCAGTCACAGCAACAGGTGACTGCAAAGCATCCAACGCCCACTCCTCCCTCAGCCACCTACACACCATCCTAAAACTAGACAACGACCCCTTCTCTTGCACAAGCAGGATCGCGCAGGTGAATCCGCTCCCTAACGACGGCTTCCCAAACCCGTATCGAAACGTAGGCGACATCGGTCCTGAAGCATGATACATGGGTAATCGTGGACTAGCAGGGGTGGGGGACCGTGGAGATGACGAGGACGAAGATGACGAGAACTCGACACGGAACCGAACTTGTTTCTGTATGACCGATCCTGACATCGTGTCCATAAGGTCGTTCATACGACATCGGAGAACCCCGTGCCCATCCGTCTCCTCAAGGCCGACGATGACGCCAAAGTGCTCGAGAATGCGAACGGTCTCGTTGCGCGTGGCGTACAGCGTATCCGTCGAACAGAGCACGTAGGTGTGTGCTTTCCAGTTGAAGAGGTTGGAAAACCAGCCTTTGACTTCGCCGACAGGGGAGGCGAGGATAGAGGGCATGACAGGTGAGGGGATCTGGAGTGGCGAGCCGAGGATGGAACGCTTGGATGGGTGAACTTGTGGGTGAAAATCAAGCGCGGGGGCTGGTAAGATGTTGATATTTAAGTGCAACAGAGAAAAAGAAAAACCCTTACGTCGTGCCTTTTTGTCCTTTTCTTTCATGACCTCACGAGCACCATAGACACTGTTGCGCAACTCGCGACCGACACGTCCCTCGTTGAGCTTACCACCAAACAGCCCACCACGGGCCTGCATGATTTCGCTGCCCTCCCGGTAAGGCTGTCGGAAGTTATGATGGTCGTGATTCTCCTTATTGGCTCCACTGGAGAATCGGTCATACTCATAATCGACCATAGGGCCATTCAACGGGGCATATCCATGACGGTTAACGAATGTCTCACTGTATCCTCGAGTCGGAGAATGGAAAGCCTGCTCCTGATTGTGCCCCTGCGCCACAGTGTGCCACGCAGAAAGAACGTTCACCCAATCCGGATCAGAGCCCGTCGCAGGCTGCATATCGACTTCTATCGAGTTTGCTGAAACTTGTTCGTTCGCAACAGCGGAGACTGGAATAGGAGCTCGGATAATACAAGGGTTGAGGGCGGGGTGTGCAGGAGCGCCAGGAAAACGAGACCCCATTGGCGGTGTGCTTGGAACGGTCAGAGGCTGGAACATTTGCTGGTTGTGAGCGTGATAACTGTGCTGGTCCTGATTCGCTCGAGGATAGAGAAGGGAGACGGTTGATGCACGCGTCCTGTATTGGGGCTCGGGGTGGGCATTCACAGGATCAGCGATGGTATGGCCAACTCTCATGCTCTTATGACGTATGGGGACCTCACGGGCTGGAGAGGACATAGGTCGGACACGAGGTGGCCTGGGTCCAATCGGGGACGGGGGTCGGGCGCGTAAAGCCCCATCAAGGAAAGGAGACGCCAGACCAGCTTGCTGTGGTGATGGTGTGCGGGACGGAGGAGGAGGCGCATCCCGAATACTCTGCAGACGTAAAGAATGCGCATCTGCATCGACGCTTCTCTTTGGAGGGGGGGACATGTATTGTTTTGTAATAACCTTCATGCCAGGAGACACAGGCGTCTCGCCTACATCGAGAATAATACCGTGATCTTTCAAAGTTTGCTCGCGGTAGTGTTGCAACAAGAAATAGAATGCCTTAGCCAATGTGCCTTCGCCTGGTGAGCTCAAGAGGTCGGCTTTGATCATTTCGATGTCGCCATGTCTTCCCCAGATGACGCGAAGAGATTCCAAAAGATCAGGGTCGATACGGGCCGCTGACGGGAGGGGAAGAGCTAATTCAACGACAGAGGGAGCTGGAACATAGACAATCCCGGGAGTTGGTTTGTTGAACCAGGGGTGAGCCATTATCTCGGGAATCTGAGAGCGTTTGATAATGTTGGAAATAATAAAGAACTACCGCTTACCGTAATACGACGGTTAACATCTACTACCAGCATGCGAGTTAAGAGGTCTTTTGCCTGAGGATCGATGTAGGCTGGAATGTCGTACTTGCCCGCCTTCACTTTAGAAAGAAGAATCCTGACATTCTTGTCGTCGAATGGAAGCCTGCCGGTAAGTAACGCGAAGAGGATAACGCCGCAGCTCCAGATATCGGTGGCATTGCCTCTGTATTTCAGACCGTTGACAATCTCCGGGCTTGCGTAGTGAGGACTTCCACAGCTAGTCTCGAGCTGTAGGGCAGGAGGGGCAAAGGCGGCCATGCCCCAATCGGCCAGTTTAATGAGTGGCGGTTTTAGTGAGTGAATCAAGATATTTTCGGGTTTAAGATCACGATGAATGATAGAGAAAGTGTGAGCATAGTTAAGTCCATAAACGATTTGCTTGAAAAAGGAGAGAGCCTCTAGAGGAGGGAGCCTTCCGCGGTTGACAAGAAAGTCAAAGAGCTCGCCACCTTCTACGTACTCGAGGACGAGGTAAAGTTCCTTCTCGCCTTCAAATACATCATAGATACGGAGGATGTTTGGGTGGTTCATGAGCTTCATCATGATAATTTCTCTGTCGATACCCAACCGCTGCTTTTCTGATTTTGCTTGCTGTGTGGCAAGGGAAGCACGGGAGTTGACTAGTGGTTGAAGGGGAAGAATTTTGACTGCGGCGAGTTGGCCGGTACGACGGTGCTTTGCGATGCGGACGCGACCGCTTGCACCTTTGCCGACGCACTCGCCGATGATCCACTGACCGATATACCTCGGATCTTCTGGAAACTCGAAGGCGCCGTGACCTGCAGCAGCCTTTTCTTTCTGCCAGCGAGTTCCTAGATGAGCGGTATACTTGATGGGGGGTGCACGAGGGGGTTGGTCGACTATCGAAGTCATTATAGTGGGTATCTGTGGGTTTGATTAACGGTTAAAAATATAAAGATGAATAGTGGCCCGAGTAGAGAAGGGTGTGTAGAATGCACTGGTACAGCGTGTAGTGTTGTGGGCGAGAGGAAGCAAGAAGTTACCAGCAAGGCTCTAGCGTCGATCTCGAGAAGGTGATGCGTGGGAATTAAGATAACCTTAATATGGTGTATTATCTGTAATGCTCGTTGTATTAGTGGTTAAAATACTTAGTAGACATTATCATAGCAAGGTCAGTGCAAAACTGGAGGCCGTGCATGTCATGCGTGACAGCGATTAAGTGAGCTAATCGTAATTTCGGACAGCGAGCGCTTATATTGTTGGTTCACTGGTTACGACAGGCTGTGGCGTGTCGGGCTCTCCACACCGCTTCCGAGTATTAACTAAAATACGCTCTGCGTCCACCGTTGCAAGTCCCTCTCGCCTCTACGAATGAACCCAGCAGTTTGAAATTGCTTCACAAAGTCTGATAACAGATTTTTGAGGTCACGACTTGGTCATGACGTCGACAATGCACCGATATCTCGTTGCTTCGCAACTGGCTTTCTCTTTCTTTCCTCTTGTCTCCAGTTACACTTGGTCCTTTACTACCACACCTCAGCAATGCGCCACCTTATCCCTACAAATATCTGGCTCTGGCTCTCCTCCATACAGTGTTCTAGTCATACCATATGGCCCCACACCTCTCCCCAATAACACAGAGGTCCGCACCATCGTGTATCAACAGTTTGATGGTAGCTCCACTAGCACCAGCTTCCAACTCAAATACCCGTCCACATCCCAGTTCGTCGCCGTGGTGAGTATCTTCACTTTTGACGCGTCTCGTCCATAAGCTCACAAGTATGTAGGTCAGCGATAGCACTGGTTTTGGATCTGGCGGGACTAGCGTTGCTGGTTATGTGATGAGCAGTACCGACAACAGTTGCTTTAACCCAAATACAACCGTCATGCCAGATTTTCCATTCAACATATACCCCACCAACCAGGTCGTACAATGCAATGCAAGTAGATTGTGGTGGGACCCTACACAAGTCGAAGGGTGCGCTTTTTTCTCCCTTCTACCAACCTCCTTCAAACAACATGCCTCAACAGCACTCCATCCTTTCAAGGTGTCATCCCTGGTGGACAATCCTTTTCAATTCCCGAAGGCTCGATAACACAGGTATCTGACGAGGGCACTGGGTTTAGCTGGATACCCTCTGTCCGCGAAGGCACCACCCTCATGATAGTTGCCGGGGACGACCGTGGGCTAGGTACAGGAGGAAGTGGGCTGTATACCGTCGCACAAGGCATATATCCAAACAGCTCGTGTTTAACCACCACCTCGCCCTCATCCACTATCGGTTCTCCCGCAGGTGGTACATACCCAACTAGCCCCAGCAGTACAAACACCACTAGTGGCACTAGCGGCAGCAGCAGCAGGTAGGCCATGTTGTTCACCACCTGGATGGCTATTTTTAACCATCTCCACCACAGCAAAACCAATGTCGGGGCAATAGTTGGTAAGCTCGTTTTTTCACATCCGCTCCTTGAACATTCGTCTCACGCACTGTAGGCGGCATTATCGGTGGCCTTGCTGCACTCGTCATCCTTGCGCTCGCAGGGTTTTACTTTATCCGTCGTAGAACCGCCACCAAGGTCACTAAGGAACGTCCCGTCGACCTCTTTCAAGGTGATCCAGAAGACGATCATGATCTAGCACCTGGTGAACTCGGGAATTACTACCGTCCCGAACCCTTCCTCGCCACTGAGCCAGAAGAAACATCTCCTATGGTTGGACGTGAAGAGGGCAGAGCTGGCACAGCTATGTCTGGCTCACGTTACGGCACCTCGGACCGTAGACAGTCTACGTTCGGGAGTTTCAGCGATATGCGATCTGCAACGCCTGATTATGAAATGGGTATCACTGGTGGTACAATCCCAAGCAGCTCTCGCAAATCTCCTACGCCAAGACAGCTCCGGCCTATTAACATCATTCAGCACGACGACGCAGGTACCGCAGACGAGCAGGCCGAGGGCCAGCCAGACACCGTCGAGCTTCCCCCTGCATATACTAATATTCGAAAACCAATCACAAATTGATTTATTCATTTTAAAAATGCATTTACTCACATTTCTAACGAGTCTTCTCTCTTTCCTTCACACTTTACATAGGTCGAAAGCCGTCGTTCATAATTCTTTGCATGTCCCTTGTTATCATTCACCTGCGTACTTGTCTCCCCGTCAAAAATTATATCACCTACGTTCATCATGTCTTATATCAGCTTCCGTCGCGATGTGGCCCAGCGGCTCCACTCGGACTCTCAGGGACTCTAGTATCGTAGCTTCATCTTCACGTACGCGGACGTATGTTGCAATATCATACCATGTAGTTCCGTTTCCCATGATCACTTCCTCGGTCGCCTTAGTATTGTGGAATCAAATCTTATATATGCGGATATCTATATATAAAACTAGGACGTGTCATTGTAGTGAAGTGACGTCGATGTAACTTCGTGACGCACCATCCGGACGGATGCAAGCGCCACTAGTACTAGCATCGTCGATCGAAAACAGACTCATATATTGGCTATTCATACTATAACTTTGTCCTACGTTATACAGCTCGCGGATCACCGCGTCCGAACGTTGTTAATATTCGGTATATAAATATAGAGATTCTCTCTCATGTACAACGCTAAATACATGCTCGGGTGACACAAATCAGACATCAGCTTCCTTGAAGCAAACACTTGGACTTTCGACGCATCTCCAAGATCAATTGCATAGATACGAACATGATGCAGCCGCCAGTAGCGACGCTCTAGACGGTGTATTAGCCAAAGACCAGCAGTGGAGCTTGACATGGTTCGCTCACCCCAGCAAAGATAACAGCCTTCCACCAGATGTAATGTGACGTCAAGAACGTTCCACAAATCGGTGCACCTAAGCTGAACGTGAGTGACGGTCGAGAAAAGGCACGCAGCGCACGTGCCCAGGAGTGATCCAATGCCTGTGAATAGTGAATACGTGTCAAGACTCAGGGTGTCGCCAAATATAGACCCACAGACTTACCAGCTATTGCAAACGCTATCCCTATCCGTGCACTTGAGTAGTGTCAGAGAGATTCAAAGGCAAGTGTCAAATAGTTACCCAATATGTGATATTTCAGGAGTCAGAATAGATATCACCGGGCCCATCATCGCTACAACTGGGGTCGAAACTTGGTGAGTGTCAGAGGAGCATCATGAACCTACGCACCACCTCCGGAAAAAAAACCATAGCTTGCGGCTATCACAGCTACACTGGCGGCCGAGTGTAAGTCAATCATTGCAAATAGTACGGCGGAGGATATTAATGAAGAGCCAATGATCGTGTTTGGGATGCCCACGTAGGCAGAGACAAAACCCATAGTAAGTCTTCCAATGAAAGAACCAGAACTAAAAATTGTGAGCTGTCGGACTCGTAAGCAGTTCTTGATTATTTGAGTAGTCTCTGATACGCACTGAATAAAATGAAAATCCTTGACTTAGACCATGCAGGGTGGAATCTAACTGAAGATAAAAGGCTTCGAAGAAGTATCCAAATTCAAAAGCAGCCATCCTAACCAGTGAAAGTAACTTTAATGTTCATATCATCGAGTATTGCAAAGCTTGCGCACCCTACACAAGCACACATGTAAGCGCCATCTCTCGACGAGTTTCGCAGAACGCGGGTGTAGCTGACGGCCTTTGATTGCGGTGGAAGCCTTGTTCGCAGCAAGAGATTTGCGATAAAAAGCAGGCCGCCATTCAGGGCCGCGCTTGCACGGACACCATTTGCAAAGCCAAGTCTTCCATTGATAAGATTGTTGAGCATGACGGGGTGCAAGATCGCACCCAGTGACGACCCCGCAACGACAATTCCCATCGCAACAGCTCTGCGTCGCTGGAAGTGATGCGATACTATGGCGATGGACGGAACATTTGTGAGGCCTATTGCAATACCGAGACCGATACCTTGGGAAAGGAATATCTGCATACACAACAATACGGTCAACGAAGCCGCGCTTTAACAGAAACAAGACTTGCTTGATAATACCCATCTGGTTTCGTTAGGGACAACATAAAGAGGAAGAAGCATTGAAGGAGACAGCCGATTTTCATCACAGGGTAACTGGAAATATATGATCAGGGACATCTTTATGCGGACTTCTTGCACACATACAATGCGCCCTGGTCGACCATCCTTCCTGACACGATACCAACTGATAATATCAAGAACGCATTGACACTTCCTATCCAGCTACACGGCGGTAGAAGTCAGAAACACTAGCAGCTAAGAAACGGCCTAGGTAGATCCAGAGCTTACTAACGCGATTGCAGATGGTGTGGAATTGGTTAGGTATGTTTGAGTGTAAAAGTCTGCATATCGTGGTTGTCAGTCCGTCCAAGTAAGATAATTCACAAATATGCTTTCCCTGGAAGACACCGTAAGCGCTGATATATCTGGAACGTGTTAGTAGTTGGGGCCCATAGATGCCGAGTGGAACTTACCCGAAGCCACAGAATTGAATCAAGAAACTTAACAGTCGCGGTTGATGGTGAGTATGCAGTGATTGATAGGTGGACAGATGCACTTACGAGCCCAGCACTGTGCCCCAAGCTTCAAAACCACCTTCGGGCAAACCTAGTGCATCCGAGAGGTCGACAAGGCTGGGATTTCCAGCGTCTTTGACGAGTTGCGAGACGTTTTCGGGAGCCTGCATTGCAGTTTCATCACCGGGGAAAGGCGTGGACATGGACAATAGAGGCTGATTGAACGATGGATGGGGCATACATACTATCATACAATGGAGTTTAAATATGAAGTTGACTCGGAGCAACCAGGAGGCTTGTACATGATAGCGGGCGGCGTTATACTGTCTTCGTCCCTTGACCCTAGACTCGTGACTAGTCCGGCGTACGTCTTTGAGAGGGAGAGTCGATTTATCTGAGTCCGCGATAGTAGTATAAGCCAGGATGCTTCTAAATTGTCCTGAGCCTCGTTCCACGTAGTACATAAACGGACACGCCTGGGAGTTGATTCTGCGGCTAGTGTCGGAAAGAGATCAGGGATCGGGGTCCGTGTTGTCCTATTTTACTTGATTATTGCCATATAGATGCAGGATCAAATCGTGTTGGATAGTGCCAGGAGGGTGCAACGTTGTGACAGCGCAACTCGATTCGAATAGACCCTAGGACCACGAACTGTGAAACATAATGAACATCTACACCAGAAAATACTCGTACCGTCTCTATCCACTCGCCATATGTTTCTCGAGGTTCCACAGCGCATCGTCCCGTGGTCCTCGACTAGTGTTGTGGGCAGCACTCCGGGACCCACAGGCAGAACCGTGGGAGGATGTAGTACTACATAGCATAATAGCATGGAGGCACTTCAAGTTTTTGAAACTGGAACATGGTTTTGCCAGTTCTGCCGAGATCTGAAAGTTGAAAATCCAAAAACGAACCTTCGAGTAGAGTCCTTCGAGGCTCAAGCGCTCATATATGCATACCTCGAGCTGGATTTAGTTAGTGCACACTTTTAGTTCGTCATATATACTAAACCGTAGCACTTTGTCGTGCTCAGTAGCCATGGTGGCCACAGCTAACCCCTTATGTGCAAATCATTAAGTGGGACCTCGATTTGCACCTGTGACTCCCACATAACGGCTGTAGTTACAGGTGATAATAAATAGGGTTCGCATCTGTAACACGAGGCAAATACAGTCAATCAGCGCCTCCTGCAATATCCCTCCAATAGCAAGGGACTTTTACATAGCGCTGTAGGACCCACAGCTCATACCGGCATAACGGCAAATGCCGTGACGTGTTGCTGACGTCGTTTAAGGTCCGAGCTCGCTGTGTGACACGATGAGCTCCCACATCTTGATATCTCGCGCCCAGATGAACGTATTGACGACGGGTTTCGACGGCCCGTGCACAGGCAATGACTAAGATGCGCGACTGAGTTGTATTGGTCTGTAGACTAGACTAAGGTAATATAAACTACTACTACTTGTCGTCACCCCCTTCTTCATCAGACGACTGGACAAACTCAGCACTTTTTGGACCTCGAGGAAGCTGGGCAGAATTCCTTTTTGCTCTTTTCAACGTCCTTTGGTTCTCCTTACTAGGACCTGTGCTAGTTGCAGCTTTACGTTTCCGAGGTACCCCAGCATCCGAACGCTTTTTTCGCGGCTTGCGAACGACATCTCCGGCTGAACAGCGCGCTTCGAGTTCGGCAGTGTGAGCTTTGATTTCCGCTGGTGAGAGAACAGTCCAGTAGCACGTTCGGGCCTTCAGTGCATCTCGCAGCTTGCGAATGTCGCCCACAGTCCCGATGTTCGAGGGGCTAATAAAATTAACACCATGGGGCCACCCCACCAGGCGTACCCCGTATGTCTCGACGATGGCTGTTTCATAGTTATGATAATTCATCCCGATATCCTTTTTTCCGGTCACCTCGACTACAAACGACGTTAATCGAGGACAGCACGTACAAAACAAGATCTCACTCACCAAGACCATGGATAATCATTTTACGTACCTGCTTCCGTACCATTTCCAAAGAGTCCCGTTCGTTAAGATCTGCAGGATATTGAATAGGCTGGTAGTATACAAAAATGTGAAATGCGCACTTTGATTCTGGGTGCACGCCCATTGCTCATATTGCCTGAGGAAATCAGCCATAGGATGCTCGTATACGTCCTCCCAGAAGTCTTCTGAGTTATCGGTCCCATGCATCGCACTTTGAACTGTGTCGTTAATGTGACCGCGAACGACAAATAACGTTGCATAGACGCCAGTCCGAACTCGCAGGTCGTCCAGCTTTGAGAGAGTAAAGTATGAGTTGAGTTCATTGTAGTCCAGGTTCGGGCAAACTCACCTCTTTGACAATCCTATCCGTCGTAGCTACAACATCACGCGCAGCTGCTATATTGTTCGACCGAACACCAGCCGATTTTTTTTCACGATGCTTGTCGAGTGCTGAAATGTAGGCGGCCTCTTGTTCCCTCGTCAAGTCTTTCATCTTGGGGTCACTTGCGACCATTTCGCGGAGCTCTGCCAACGAATATCGAGACCCTACAGGTAGGTCTAATTGACATGATATAAGCTTTGCGGTACCATCAAACATATGTATTTTACGTACCTGCATTCATCTCCTTTGACTTAGCGTGAACAAGGGTGTTTTTCACCTGCATCTTGCGAGAATTGCGATAATGTGTCTGACCCCCGATGATGTCGTTGATTGCCTTGGGAGTCACACTATGAGCTCGCGAGAGCGCTTCGATCTTCACTCGTTGTTTCTCCAGGTATTCAGCGACAGCATTATGTAAGCGCTTCCTTTTCTCCGTCGTTTGGTCTCTCTTGATCTTTCGAGACGCCTTCTGGGCATCTGTCAGTCGAGGGGGCGGTGTCCGAGGACGGATGGTGGCTCGCGTTGGGTTTCGTGCTGCCCATGTGGACGTGTTTGCTTCGCGTTGGAGTAACTCTGGCACCTCTCGACTGGTGTCCGACACCTCTGACTGGGTGGGACTTACCGGGCCTTGATCATGGATTTCAGAGGGCTTAGGTGAGGGCGTGCGAGCAGGGGAGGTGCTCGCGCCAGCAACATGTGTGGGGGGAGGCAACTCTGGAAGGGGGTGGTTTGTGGCCGCTATGTCGTGAGTGAGAGCTGCAATTTCATCATCGGTAAGCGGCATGGTGTACAACGAGGGATCGTTCCAGTTGATATTGTTAATCAAGTGAATATGACTACCACCTTCACCACTGGGTGGCGTATCTTCACCTCTAGCTAGCAGATCCAAAAACCGGCCGGTTGAGATAAAGTTGCCGTTGGCATCAAAATCGTCAGCTGAATATAGGTAGCTCATATTTGAAACTGTGAGCAGAAACTCTGTAAGTGTAGACGCGAAGTTTAAACCAATAAAAAATGTGCGCATTGACATGTGATGGACTCCATGGCAAATAAACAACGCGTGTCGCGTCACAAAAATCCTATCATTGCCAGCCGGTTTCTGAGAGAAAAGATCCAGTGGAATCAGTGTAAGATCTTGAGGTTGATATTCATTTGAAACCGCGGCTAAGGTCACATGTGCATCTCAGAGGCAGTGCAGATCGGTACTGATCAGACCTACCACAAGCCGAAGGATCTATCGTCCTATGGAGGATGCAGACAGACCTTCCATGAGCCGAAGGGTCTACCGTCCTATGGAGGATGCAGACAGATGAAGGGTCTATCATCCTATGGAGGATGCGGACAGACCTTCCATGAGCCGAAGGGTCTATCGTCCTATGTGGGATGCGGCCAGACCTTCCAAGAACCAAAGGGTCTATTGTCCTATGGAGGATGCGGCCAGACCTTCCAAGAACCAAAGGGTCTATTGTCCTATGGAGGATATGGACAGACCTTCCATGAGCCGAAGGGTCTATCGTCCTATGTGGGATGCGGACAGACCTTCCATAAGCCGAAGGGTCTATCGTCCTATAGCAGACGTAGACTCACCTTCCCGGTTGAAATGGAACGCGCCGCACGCCACGTAGAGGCAGTGGGTGCCTTCTGGGTTGAAATGGAACGCGCCATGCATGCAGTGGAGGCAGAGGTATCCTCCTCGGTTGAAATGGAATGCGCCGTGCGCTTGGTGGAGGTAGGATTCTCCTCCCTGGTTGAAATGGAACGCGCTGCGTGCCAAGTAGAGGCAGTGGGTGCCTCCTGGGTTGAAATGGAACGCGCTGTGCGCTCCACCACTCGACTGTTTCACTGAGGTGCCAGGGCCTGGGCTTCCTGCCCCATTGAAGGACTGACATGTACTTATACGACGTACTCTGGGGCTGGTGAGAATGGAGGGGAGGGACCAGGAAGATTACCATCTTGCTTGCAGACAATGAGAACTGTTAAGTCTTTGCTGCGGTAGTATACTTGGACCTATAACAGTCTACAACGGTTCCCTAATTTAGATGAATTAGTAATCAAGATGACCGCACAAGCGGCAATCCTACAGAATCCTACTCCGTGCCTTTCAATCAGATCTCGCAGCATTGTCAACCATTTTATTGATGATCTTGACCATATACCTAGGGATGACCCCAGGTCATCTCTCCTTCCTTCATTTTTTCAACGACATGGTAAGTTCAAACTCACGTTAAAGGCTGGACTATCTAACATATTTTCCAAGGCTCGCCGAGGCAAGAGCAGATCCTGCAGTCCCGCGTCGAAGCAGCGGATAGCCACAGAGCGCTGGCTTGCGAAGCCAGGGTGAGTTTAACGTCCTTAGTCACTGGTGAATCCTGTTTACCTGCCCTCACTGCAGAGTGCGAGATGCTCGAAACGAGAAGGCTCGCATTCGAGTTGCTCAGTGAGTTCATACCTATTTCCTAAGTCTTATGTGCGCTATATAATTTATTTTAGGAATAGGGCAAGGTGAGAATGCCTAACTATAGGAGTGTGCTAGACTCACTAACCGACTTTTGCACAGGAAAAAAAGGGTTCTATCTTGCGAAGCGCATGACATGCCTGTCACTGCCTCGGACCATGAAGACTATTATTCTCAGTATGACGCCACCAAAGCCGTGCTCACCTTGGACCGTAACGATTCTGAGTGTGATGCTACCGAAGCCGTGCTCGCGAATGACGATCTACCTTATCTCGCAGACGCCAATCTGCCTTCTCCTCGCAACTCTCCCTCGCTGCAAGCGATTGATGAAGAATCGTGTTACGATCGTTCATTCGATCCTGACGAATCTATCCTCACGATGGACAGCGATTTACCCTGTGCCTGTGACTCTCCGTCACTGCAAACGCTTGAGATCCTCGTCGGGCAGTGGCGAAAGGAGTGGCTGTCTGAAGAAATGTGGAATGAGGCATACAATGAAGCACTTCGTCGCGCTCTGAGCAAGGGGGAGCACGCTATATTTGTCAAGCAGTGTGCACAGCATGCTTCAGAGGGTAGATCACTGCTGGAAAGTATCAAGGATGTCGTGCACACTCATTGCCCGTATTGCAGGGAACGCCTGAAGTACAATACAATATTACTATATGATTTACTGGTTAGTGTCACATCAGAGGTGAAATTTTTCGAAGTCAAATTAGTTGTAGACACCGTCTGTAACTAGTAGTATACATATTGTGAATGTAGCTCCGAGCATCTCAACATCAGACACAGTGTGAATGCCTAGTCACGTAGCGAACTTATAGTGAACAATAGTGAACAATAGCGAACTTATGGCGAACTTATGGCGAACTTATGGCGAACTTATGGTGAACTTATAGCGAACTTATAGTGAACTTATAGCGAACTTTCATTCTCGGATGCTCGGGACTGTGAATAACACCCTATAGCAAAAATTTGAAGACGCAGAATGCTTCAGTCACTTGAACACGATATACATTATCAAGCTGAAGCTGGAAAAATGTGTGTTGAGTAGTGTAGAGCATTTATGATGTTTAGGATACTCGTTTGCATAATGTGATGCACTTGCTAATCGGAATACCCCTCTAAGGGCAGCAGCAACAACAACATACTTCTGATCCGTTCCCAATCACGCAGGTTCCTTCTCACTCTCACTTCCCAGTACCACAGGTTCCTTCTCACTCTCATATGGCCACCACACATAATATTTATCAGCCGCATCATAACAGTACGAGCCATCTACTCCTGATCCGTTCCCAGTACCACAGGTTCCTTCTCACTCTCACTTCCCAGTACCGCAAGTTCCTTCTCACTCTCACATGGCCAACACATAATCTTTATCAGCCGCATCACAACAGTAAGAGTAAGGCAAATTCAATTTCTTTACTCTAATTATAAGTACCATTCGCAAACTAGACTACGTAGATTCAAATTTATATTGACTCATGGTGTCCGACAGGTCTTCTACTTGCGACCACAAGTCATCCGAGTCTATAGACAATGTGGGAGATGCAGGGGGCGGGGGAGATGCTGGGGATACAGGCGAGTTCATAGGCCAGAATGGGCCACCCGGAATCGGAACTGCATGGACGCTGCGTTCGTTATACTTGACGGTGTATGCGTGAAGAGCTTGCTGGAAAGATGGGTATCGTTTCTGAATACTCCCGCTAACAAAATTTGTTCGTTCCGCAACATCAGCCCTAAGATAAACATTGTGATTATAAGTAAAAGAGAGTGTGTAACACTGACCAACAATAAAATACACCGACTTCTTGCCCAACAATGATGACCCAGAAGCCCTCGGGCTTGAGCCCAGCTTGTGGTGGGCGGATCTCGTCTGGGGTTGGAGCAAGCGGAACATGGGAGGGGATTGACACCGGATGCGAGGGTGTTTGAGCTGTCAAAGTGGTAGGAAGAGGCACGATCCGTCCATCGGGAATGGTGTTGTGCGTGGATTGCGCGCACGAGGTTCTTGAGAGCGTGATAGACTCTTCTGTAGTCTTGCGCTTCCAAGTAACAGTACCGACCGATGAATCTATGATAAGTGATGTGAGTAGACAGTATTTGGGGGATGTTAGAAGAAATACCTACCTGCTAGGCTCATACGATCGAGCAAATTCTGTAGATCTTGAATGTGATCACCTGCTTGGGAGTCAGAGCGAGTTGATGGATGGCTGGACATGGCAGATGTGATGATGTATAGGGACCCTTTGCGACACTACCGATTATATCAGTCACGTGAAACGAAAAGATATTCCTTACTAACACGAAGAATCTGTAGATAATGCGAAATACCATAGGACGCCAGCGAATTCGAAGTAAGCTCTCCCTGCGATCTATCCGGCACATTGGACCGTCGAAGAATAAAAATGGGCTGCCGGTCAACAGCAGTGTATCGAAGGTGCTCAAGCACCGGGACTTGGTGGAGCAGGCAGCAAGGTCCAATGAGCGACGGAAAGCACGTCTGCAAGGTATCTAATCTTAATTGAAATACTCGACAAAAAAAAACTCACCTCTTGTAAAGCCATGAGTTCGGATGAGCGTCGTGCTCTCGAAGCACTCAAAGAGGACAAAAATGCCACCATTGAAGATTGGCAGGAAGGCTGCGATGATAGCTTCGGCGATGTCTGGAATGGGACTGAATCGATTGCCATCAGTCACGCTGGTGGCGAATTCGCTGACCTTGCAAGAGAGGTGTTGGGAGACTTCTGGAAAACGTAAGTGTCGGTGAGTGTTGACTATTGATATGTGAGTCACATACCTTCGTGAACAGAAACAATCGTGTTCGACGCGTGGATAACCGCACGCGTCGTGATCGCGTCCTCCGCAGAAACCAGGCGTTTACAGAGCAGATGCCTGCGATGATCGACGCTTACCTTGCCTGGAGCCTGGCAAAATCGAAGGAAGAGTTCAAGAGTTTTTTTGAGAGATTGCGGAATGAGGAGCTGGAGAGCAACTCGGACTATGGTGAATGGTCAATTAGTGTTATTGATGTGTTCTGTGAGTGATCTTGTTGTTGTTTGCTTACTTTTAATATTGATGTCGGCGTGACTCATTGTATTAGACGCTTCGAAAGTGACTCTTCGAATCTTACCAATAGACGCCACCATCTGCTCTGCAATGGTGCGTCAAGGTGTCATGCCGTGTTCGCCGATATCACCAACTGTAGGAATCACTACAGAAGCTCTTGACTTATACCGTGTCGCGCATCTTAGAAGTCCTCATTTGTCTATTCAAGCTTTCGTGAAAACCGTGTGCGACTTGCATGGGGTAACTATTTTAATTTCTCTAGTTATTGTGCTGATCATATGCAGGTGGAATTTCATAGACATCTCTCACGTCAATTTTCTATCGCGTTCGACACATATCTTCAAATTCGACGCTCTGTGGCAGATATCGTAGCCGAATCGCTTCAGCGCAACTCACCTGACTGGCGCCTTAAACACGCGTGCCCTACATGCACATATGAACTCACTGACGAAGAAGCACTAACATTCAGATTATTATATTCTATGGACGGTAACGACTCTTTAAAACGAGTCCTGCGGAGGTCTTTAGACCATGACACCGACGACTCTCTCGCTCCCTCGTCTGAAGTTCCTACAGGCCAACAATTCACGAGTGACTGGTACCTACCTCGTGCATTTGTAGACCGGTATTCTCGAGAGTCCGAAACGACAACAGCTGTAGGTGACGAGGAAGATGCAGCCACTGAAGACTCTTGCGCTGGACGATGGAAAAATATGGACGACGCTAAAACAAAGAAAGCGTGGGGGATATACGACGAAACAGGTATATTCGTGGCTGTTTGCCGTCACGGATTTATGTTACTTGTCGCGGACATGGTACAGAGCGGTGAACTGTAAGTAGTGCCTATCGTTTTCTCAGCTATTAATGAGTGTTTGGATAGTGCAAAGTATCCCCTTGCTGTCGTTGCAAAGTTGCTGGACGTATTCGGGAAACAATTAGGAAGTGGGTACGACATTGGTTGCCAGTTTAAGACGACACTCGACAACAGCTCCCTTGGACCGCTCGCACGCTCGCTTCAACACACCTGCCTGGTTGGCGCCTTCCACGGACATGCTCACAGGCGCTTGTGCCAGCTGTTTTCACTCACAACGTACATCAAGGGTCTGGGCCTCGAGGATCTCGAAACGTGTGAACGAACGTTCTCGAAATCGAATTCGCTGGCATCTGCGCTACGCTATGCGAGTGTATTCCATCGGCAGCAGGCTATCGACTGTTATTTCGAGCACAACGACGATTTTGAGGTCTACGCTAATCTTTGTAAGTATAACTAGTACATAAATCGAACGTTAGCTGACATAATCATCGTATTAGCCAATTTTTTGTACTCTAACTACAAACAAGCACTGGACATCTTGAATGATGGCGACACAACTCTACCGAAGCTCATGCAAGACCTGAGACTCATGGATGAGAGCATTTTTGAGCGCTGGCTAGAGGAAGAGAAGACCTACCTCCAAGGTCTAACGCGAGAACCCGAAGATGAGACCTTGCAGATGGAGTATTGGCAGAAGTTGGTAAATTTCACCGCAAGCGAGTGAGTGTAGCTTCCAAGGTATACCAGTCTTGTGTTCACTGACACTTCATTCGCTTAGAGAGGCTCTTAATGCTGCGATGGAAGCCTTTCAGGTCTATTCTCACCATGAGGCCGCGTCATATGACATTCAGATGCGAGATACCCGCAAAGCGGAGACTGCACGACGTCACGCTGTCGAGGACCACGAGAGGAATTCAAAACTTGTTCAAGCACTCGAACGCAAACTCGAGATCACGATGCGCTGGACCCCTGAGGATGCAGATTGGCAGAGGGTGGGGAGGCTCGTTGCTCATAGGAAGTACCAATGTGCATTAGATCGCCTCGAAGGACTGATAGTTGCGCGCATATTTGAACTGACGAGGATGAACCGGGCAGCTACAGGTGAGTTTGTTTAGACGATGTCTTGCTTGCGTGTCGATTCTAATATCACTCAAGGCTACAAGCTACGTAAACACATCGCCAAGGCATTACAAACACGCTCCATCGCCATCCGAAGTGCCCTCAACACATACAATGCCATCGCCGAGGCAATGCACCCTCCCCGCAAAACGCTTAAGTGGGACGAGGTCGTGGAGTATGCGTTTCTAGCCGACTTTGACCTCTTACGCGACACACGTGCAGACGTGTCTCAACGGCCTTGGGCATCGCCTGTTGCTCGCAGGGTGATGGACCTGTATTTCAAGATGTGCCGGGCGCGGGAGGAAATTCAACGCTTGAATGTGGAGGTACGGCGCCTAGTGACGTACATCCGAGACGAAGACAAATACCTGCGGGCATGCGAGGATCAGTTGAAGGCTGTCAGTCCAACTCTTGCCCATCAAGTCGCTATACATCGAAACGTCCGAGGACGGTTCAACTCACGCCACCTAAAGCGGGTCCATGAGATATCGACACTTCCTGGCTTCACCGGGACAATATCCCCAGGTATAAGCACTAATACAGGTCTCGGAGAAAGCTCCAGCACACCGAACGCGCAGATCCCATCACAATTGCTGGTAGAACACTTACCTTTTGATAACATTAGACGACCTGCAGCGGCGCCGGATACTCTGGATGAGTTAGATGAGGAGGAGCAGGAAGAGGAGGTGGAAGAGGAGGCATCCAGAAGTTTGCAAGATGTGCTCCGTGTTGCTGATGATCTCTCGCGACTGGAACTTCATGATCACGCCGATGAGCAGTAGTATAGCTTAATTTACACATTCTATGGACACATAAGACAGATCTACGTATGTTAATGGTCACTCGCGCATGGGCCGTGGAAACCCGCCGTCAATATGTTCATCTGGGCGCGAGATATCGAAATGTAGTAGCTCATCGTGTCGCACAGCGAGCTCGGACCTTAAACGACGTCAGCAACACGTCACGGCATTTGCCGTTATGCCGGCGGCACCTAGTGCCGGTATGAGCCTGTGGGTCCTACAGCGCTATGTAAAAGTCCCTCGCTATTGGAGGGATATTGCAGGAGGCGCTGATTGACTGTATTTGCCTCGTGTTACAGGTGCGAACCCTATTTATTATCACCTGTAACTACAGCCGTTATGTGGGAGTCACAGGTGTCGATTTGGAATTATCCGTTGCCGGTGACTTAACACAAGTTTACAGTTCTGCCTTGGCCCAAATAAAACCTCATTTTCGTCGTTGCTATCATCGAGCTCGTCATGACGTCGCCGTACTAGCTCACTTTTCTTGTGTATACCTCGGTCTGCTGCTCTCCCCACAGTGGCCATTTGCGATTTCCCATCCAGAACACACATCGTTGAAGGCACTCTCGTGTATCGAGCGCTGATCCGTGTAACGAGTCCGGGCCTAACTACTACCTGCCACTCCAACGCTTGTCACACCCTCCCAAACCCCACTGTCTCCAACGACTGCAACGATTCTTCGGTGTCTTCCACGTTTTTTGTACCTGTAAGTTACATTACTCAGACCGTTATTGACCTCACCGGCTTATCTTGTCACTTATTGACCAGTCGATGCCTCATGCAGGATAAAGAATAGAAAGTTTATTCGAGAATAATGCGCGAACATGGAATGAGGCAATGGTCATAATGAATCAGGTGGTGAGCATGGCGACGAACTTGAACGTTTGAACATGTAACATACGGTACACCACTATAATCTCCTAAACTTAACATTTCATTTCCTGCTCGTCGTTCATCCCTTCTTACCGATCTTCTTGAGCCAGCTTTTGCCGGTCGCCGAATCCGAGCCGTTGGGAACTGGCAAATCTGTGCAGTTTTTCACGACAAGCTTGCGCAGAATATTGCCCGATTCCAAAATACGATGAGTAATGTGGTCTGGGAAGCTTGAGTGTTCCCAAAGCGTTGTGACGCAAGCATGGTCTGCGAAATACATGCCCTTGAATTTTTCCACATTGGTATCCCACCAGTTCTCCATGTGGGTCTCTTTCTCTAATCCTGTGACGACGACTATGATCGGAACCTTCTTCTGGCAGATTCCAGAGTAGAATTTGTCATAGGCCTTAACGAGGGCGCTAGGGGCAATCGTGTTGTCCATGCAGTACACCAGAAGGCTGATGCCATCCAACTTGGAGTTCATGAACTCACGCAACAAACTCTTCAACTTTTTTTCCGCTTTCGCCGCTGACGCTGAGTCTGCAGTCCCCATGCAGAGACCTGCAGTATCAATCAGGACGAATCGCTGGCCTGAAATTTCTACTGGGTAGCGTTGAGAGGTAGAAGTACATCCATGTGCGTCGTTAGATGTCTTCGCGAGCTGCTCTTGCGCGATTGTGTTGATGATAGAACTTTTCCCTGAGCCTGTTTCGCCAAATATGACGACATTTCTTTCCCGCAGGCGCGTCTGATATATTCAATCAGTCACCTCTCTTTGTGGTATTGTGTCCCTCAAGAAGCACGTACTTTGTGGTTGCTCGACCATGCGTTTGGAGGTGGCAATGGTACTGATTGTTTCTGTTCGTGTCCTGGGTTGCTAGTCGATCGAACTACTCATGGTGATGAGACATATCCGTCTCGACGCTTGTTTGACATGGATGTAACTTACGAAAATCACTGTCGAACGCCGTTGTGGGATCAGTACTGATACTGGGAAATAATGGCCAAGAATCAGTGTTGGCTGGTGAAGAAGAACTGGAAAAATGAATATTAAAACTTGTGAATCTGTGCAGATTTGGACCTACAAAGATATCTGAGCTCCAGGCTCTATAATTCCATTCGTCGGCTCATGATCAGGGTGGGGTCGTGGACTATTGAGCAGGTGTTCTGTTATACCATTGGAATCATTGCGCGGGAAAACTCCGGGGAAGCCACCCTGCGCATCATCGGGAGAATCGTTAGGTAGGCTCGAAGAATCTTGAAGCTCAAATGAATGGATGGTCAAACAAGCACCACGAACTATGCAGGCTGACCTGATGAGCAAGACCTACGCATGTTGAAGTCGAATACTTCATCTGCTGAAGGCCGAAGTTCAAATTTTAATTGCAGACATTTTTGAATCATGTCCCAATCTGAGTCCATTATTGCAGGGTGGCCGTTGGGGCGCAGCGGACCACGACCTTGGCGTTTCAAACCATAAATACGGAATTCTGGGTTTTGAGACTTGATCTCAAACCAAGGGTACCGACCCGAGAGAATCTTGTTCGATAAGTCCTCAGATGAACATTTTGTGACCAAACAACTAACTCACTTGAAGCATTACACAGCCAAAAGAGTAGATGTCAGTTTTTTCCAAAGGTGGGAAAATGTCAGTTCTTTCCGAAGCTGGGTCATTGACATCGACATCATCTAATAGAAGTTCTGGTGCTGCATAGTGGATTGCCCCTGCATGTATCGATGTTGCAGCCAAGTGTGACTGGCCGAAAAGGGGTAGGACAACGGCAGAAAGACCAAAATCAATTAGCTTCGCACGGCCTCCCTCATCAATCAGTATATTTGCCTACAGTTTTATTATTTTTCAAAAATATCACAGCAGCTCTGGGCTCACCCCTGTTATATCCCCATGCACGACAGGCACCGAGTGCACTGCACCCATGGTAGGTTACCATAACATCTTGAGAAAAAATATATGAAACTGACAGTAACGCAGTCCAGCGCTGACATCCTCCAGCTTCCAACTTCGGGTCAGTCTGATAAGTAAAAGGATGCGGTGTGAATTTTACTTACCATACGTGAACGGTCCAGCACTGTTAAATCGTTGTGTCTAGATACCAGGTAGACATTCAAGGTGCCGTTTGGAATCCACGGAGTTACCAAGCTGGGCAAGTCTGGCCTCCGTCCAAATCCTGTCGCTATGCCCAACAACGGTACGATGTTGTCATGGCGTAGAAGTGTTAAAATGCCGATTTCTCTGCTGATTTTCTATATAATCCAAACAGTATAAGTAGCATGTGCTGACATATGTGCAGACCTGGTATTTCTTACCCTGTATATTCTCTCTGAATCATAATAGTTCTCTGGATATCTGAAGGCCTTGACCGCAACCTTATGTGTTGATAGATTGGTCGGCATAAGCCAGCGCATGGTAAATGAGTCTAATACATGAACTGACGACGGCTGAAATACCATCTGCATTGTAATTGCATTTCCAGACATCGCCGAATCCACCTCCGCTACTGTGGTCTCGAGTTGTTCGAGTGATAAAGGGTGTTAAATCGGCTGGTGAGGTGTCTGCCCTGCGCAATACGTTCAGTAAAGTAAATACTGCGTGCAGCACCGATAATGCGAGCATACCCCATACCGCAGTTCCCCGTGTTCATTCAATTAGTGGTCTTATGAATGACAGATAGTCAAAGAATGTGAGTCGGATTCAATTGCTCAGAGTCGTAGTAGGCCAAAGTTAAGATGAGAGGATGGGCAGCTATATAATTCGGGTTAGGGCGGCACTATTCTCAACAAAGACCATTGTTTGATTAGTCTAAGCGACCTCGGAAATGGGCGACAAGTAGATCAAGAAAGGAAAGTCCTATACCCTTGGCCACAAGCCTTCAGGCAAGGCATTATGTAATGGACACCCACAGAATTCATCGTCACAATGTCGGAAATTTCCAGCGAGCCTTCGAATTCAATTTAAGACATTTTAAGGGATCTTTTCACACGGTACACTTATAATGCATGTTAATGGTGTACGAAAAAATTTCAAGGCACTTATAATGTCTGTCCAAATCATGTTAAGGCACTGTAATGATCCTGGGTGGCGTGTGATGAGCCTAACATTATAAGGCCATGAAATGATAGTGTAAGCATTGTAAACGGTAGCAAGGTAAATTCAGACAATTTCAAGACTCGTCGCTTGTATTTCGATGCTCTTGCTGGAATTCCCAAATAATGATAATAATAGTAGTAAAAAACAGCAATATTGGTCGCATTTGTACTGATCGCGATACAGGTAAAAAAAATGGTGATCGTAATACTCACATTATAGTAATCTGGCAGGTGGTATTTCTCGGCTGAAGGTCGTGGGCTTGGTCCTGAATAGAGAAGCGAAAGGCATGGCGAGGCGAGGCGAGGCGCGAAGGTTGGGTAGCGATTCAGAGTGTGGGTCGAGGAGGTAGAGGTGGCGCCTGCGCAAACCTAAGACAACGCCCCCCAAACAGCCAAGCCCGCGAAAAAGGACATGAGGCCGACCAAGACACCGACATAGGCAGCAGTATGCACGCCTACACGTGGCAGGAGGGTCGGTGTGTGCAGCACTGCGAGGCTCGTGTGGAGGAGGACGACGAGGGAGGTGGTTATGATGAATGGGATATGCGAGCTGTCGTAGGAATGCATTTGTGAGGTCACGTGAAGGAAATCTTTGAGTTGGTCAGTTACAGGGACGGATGACAGTTGGATTGATACGTCTGAGAGGGGGAGGGAGAGCGCACGAGCGTCGTGTCGAGAGCGCTTCCGAATAATATCGGATTTCATACTAATGGGATGAGCAGAGCCGTGAAGCTTGTAGTAGAGGCCACATCTGCATGTATATAAGATATTGGTACGAATATAGAAGGAACAACAAATGAGAACTTACACGTTGCAAACGGTCTTGCCTTCAGCGTCCTTCCTCCGCAGAGGAGTTGCAGTCGTGTGACAGTTGTAGCACTGCGCGCTACTCACAAGGAGGCAGAAGTGGTCAACTGTGGCTAGGGATCAAGATGTCCTCGTCGTTGAGAAGGAGAAAAATTTTAACATTGACGACGCACCATATTGATAGACTTGATCTCAATGGACAAGCATTGAATTGCCTCGAGAGAGAGTGTTGGTATTAATGCATGGATTGAGATAAATAAGAGTCGAGTAGTCGACGGAATCTTCGGAGTTGATGACGACGTCTGTTCAGAGGTGGAAATGGTTGAAATGAAAGAAGACTCAATAGAAGCGTTGATCAGAATAGAGCTCAACTTGTTTGGCCTTGTGATTATACTACCCTAATTGGGATGCAATTTTACGACTTAGTAATCATTTAAATGCTGAATCAAGAGATGTGCAATGTGCTGTTGGGCGGGGGCGTCCGAGAATTAATAGCTGTTGGAAGGTGACAATGGGTAAGCTGGAGTTAGCATTTATAGTTGTAGGTAAATGTAAACAAATCAGAGGGCGACAGGTTCAACAAATTAATAAAGCGAGACTCAGATTCCACTAAAATTACTTCCTCCCCGACACCTTCCTCGGTTTGGCACCACCATTGCGTGTAACACGCTTGAGTGCTGGAGGAGGAGCCAAAGGAACAACAGGGACCACGTCCGAGTCCACCGGAGTCTGAGCAGCCTGAGCGGTAACTCGACGTTGAGCCGCAGACACCCTACCACCCTTGGATGCAGATGGTGCCAAGTCAGTTCTAGCGCCATCCAGCGAGAGCTCACCAATGTCAACTTCGAGTTGGAGCTGAGTGGTGGTGGCGGGCCCTCCCGGATTGCTGATAGACATTGCAGTCTGGTAGTTGACAGTGGCGACTGCATTCATGTCAGCACGACTCGCAGAAGTCGGAGCATAAGTGATGTGTGAAGATGACAGAAGTTGTGGTGCGGGAATGGGGATGGTTTGTGGTGCGGAGGCAGGATCTTCTAACTGCTGTAAGAAGTCGTCTTCCCAGGTGTGAGGTTGGGAGGCAGAGGGTGGAGTAGGGGTACCACTAGTAGCTAGGACTGAGCTTGTGCCGAAAACCTCCTGGTTGTAATAGTTGATCACACTCGTAGCCCATGGGCTGCGCTTGAATAGTCGCTCCAAGTAAAAATCAAAGTCTTGCGCATAATCAATTTTCGTGGCTGGTCCGGTTGCTGTGAGCTCTTGATCATGCGTTAACAAGAAACGCGCCTGAGAACGAGACGAGATCAGCATGCATGCAAAAGTCAGAAGATTATAATGCGCTCACCACAATAGCAGCACCTGCGATCAGACCTTCTGTGACACACTGCGTAGACCAATGCTGACCCCTGGCCTTCGGATGACCTTTGGTCTTCCCAGACAGCGAAGCCTTCCCGAATATTTCAACTCGGATGATCTGAGGGACGGAGTCAGCCCTAACGTACTGCTTGGACAGCAGCTGAATACATCACTCACCTTGGCCATGACTGGTGTTTTGAGGAAGGCGTCTGGAACTAGAGCAGAAGGATCCATGAACAGAATGGGGGCTAGACGTGTATACTTTTCGCCACCGACATCCTTCTTTAAGAGAGCAAGGAGTTGTGCATTCTTCTTCTTTTTGGCAGCCTCGTCAGTGAAGACGGTCGGGTCGAGTTTTAATGAAGAGAAGATCAAACCGGCGCAGTCCTTGAGACTATGCAGTATGTTCGACCTCTCGGAATTAACTGCAGCACGAAACTAGAGTATCTCATACATAAGTGTTGATGCGCAGACAGAGGGAGAATCGGACATACCACTGATCCAAACTGTGGGTAGGTCTCCATTGGTTTATGCAAAGCCTTGGGTATGCACTGATAAAGCTCAGCCATCGCACCATTGAGTTTCGCTTCAGGTGAAGACCAACGTGTGTCGCTGCGTGGATCAATGTCTGGCTGGGGTTTTGTCGGAAAGAGCCCGCTCATGACCCAAAAGTAGTTGAGCATGGCGTACATCTTGCCCGCATGGGCGATGTCATTGTCGATGGTTGATGTCTTCTTAAGGACTCGGTTTCGGCTGCGTGCAGGGACAGCAGCCTGGAGCATAGCGTGGTCTTTCTTGAGAGCGCGCAACTCAGACCAAACAGCAGTATATGCTTGTTGCGCCACTTCTAGTGCCTAGAGATTCAACTGCTACATCAACCAAACCAAGAGAATGGCAGCATGAGTGAACTCACCCTGCGGACTTCGTGCATGGGCGCGTCAGGCTGAGGCATTGTCAAGACCATCCTCAGGGTGTCGAGATCGCTCCGGGCATCAAACTCATTGTCTTGCTCATCATTTCCAGATTCGGACTCAGTATCCTCAATAGCATCGAGTTCTGCTGTGAAGTCGTCTGAGGAATATCCAGCCTGGGGCATGACAATTAAACTAAGACACAAGAAATTTAAGTCTGAACAGTGGAGATATGAGACACGACAATTTCACTTGCCTGGTTCCATGTTATAAAGACGTGACCCTGCACAGGGCCAGTTGCTCCGCAGCATCTTGCTGTCCTTGCTGTTGACATGCGGCGTGTTTAGTTCAGCCTTGGCAAAGTCGACATGTAATAAAAGCTGCAGGTACTTTAACTTCAGTACCGATCACTATCAAATGACTAATGAACACGACAATTTGGACTTACAGTGGGACAGATTCTCGTACGTATCTTGAGTCCAGTGATACGATTGGATTCGATCTTGGGTTTCTTTGCTACTCTCTCTTTGTCAAGTAGAAGCTCCTCGTCCTCTTTAGTGCCCAACGAGGGAAACTTGTGTTTGCTGCGTGTAGTCACGCTTGAGATTTTCTCGAGAAAGGAGCGTTTTAGCGAGCTCTAGACCCTGCGTCAACTCGTTCTGCAACCGCAAAAGCTTATCGGATGACGTTGCTTGCGAAGCACGGGTCTTGAGGCCCTGTGACATGAATCAAGAGTGTCTTGTGGTGGTCCAGTAAATAGACTTGCATGGTGCAAGAACTATTGGAGATATTGTTACGACTAGGATAGGTCGAGCTCTCCCTAGGCGGATTGCCTAATCTGATAGCGGGCTCGCTACTGGAGAGACGGGGATCTTCTCTCAAATGAGAGGTTCGGGGGTTCCACTAAAGGTAGCGTCGGCTTTCCTTTAGGTGCGGCTTAGACTGAGTGATTGGGATGATCACACAGAGGAAGTTCTGATGAAAACCTAGTAGAATCAAGTAGGGAATATACATGATTCTGTCTTGTCATATCCCGCATTCCGGACCAACATCTGGCGACATTCCCACGCCTCATCCGGACCTCCGGACCTCCTGTCCATGTCTCCAGACCCAATCCTCTATCCGTCCGGATCCCTGTACTCCTGCATCTGATATCCGGACGCCAGATCTGATATCCACATCTCCGGATCTCCGGATCTCCGGATCCGACCTATCTGTCATGTCCGAACCCAAACCTTAAATCAGCGCCCATCCCCTTATGGTAATCACCTGTCTCCGGACTTCCGAACATCCGGATCCGACCCACATCTATCTTCCTTGCGTTCCGGACCCAGACCTATCACGCATTCATCTCCGGACATCCGGATCCGACCCGCGTCTATCTTCCGTGCCTTATCCCTTTGTATGTTCCTTCTTGAGTTAGACTTCCTCATTTTCCGTACCTCATTTCATCTCCGAGTTCATTTCCTATGATCCGTCTTATTTTCTAATACATTTCCACATGCTCGTACATAGCCTTACCCCTCTGCTTACTGATCTGCACAGACTTGCCTCTAGTATATAAACCCCAGTAGATACTCCTGTATTTCCAGTCTGAATATCATACACATATTAGTCCTCGCACTAGTCTTCACACTGAGTCCTCGTAACAGTTCTATTCCTCCGACTTAGTAATCATCCATCTCAGGCCTAGGGAGGAATTCCCTAGGCCGGAGCTCCGCTCCTCCGCTCCTCCGCTCCTCCACTCATCCACTCATCCACTCATCCGATCCTCCATTCCTTCGAGTTTCCGGAAGTTCCTCCGGAACTTTCCCGCGGTCCTCCGGACCTATTCTGCTTCGGACTTTGTCCTTGCAGCCTTTCCTCTGTTTCCTTCTACTCAGGACTCGTCCTGAGTAGCCATTATACATATCCCCGTCAGGACGAAACTCCATCATAATTTCCGGAAGTTCCTCCGGAACTTTCCCGCACTCGTCCGGAAAGTCCTTCCGAAGTTTCCCACGCTTCTCCGGAGGTCCTTCGGACTTCACTGGACTTTCTCCGGACTTCATTCTGAAGTTAAGGGCACATACTCGGGTAAGGGGCACAGCGCACGAGCTGAAGCCAAGCCCCTTGGAATCAGTCCTACCCTTTGTGCACGGTCTTAACATGTCTACTCTATATACTGTCGTCCGTGTGCACAGACCAATACTACGTTCGGTAGGTAAGTATGAGTGTGTCTATACAAGGACATCTTATCTGATGCCATGCGGGCGATTATCTATACATGAGGCGTTGCATGCCTCTTCTATCAGTCCTCAAGGCTAAACATGCCTTGTAGTTTAACTGCGCATGCTGTGGCATGCGGCTTCTCTTCTGACCATGAGGCAGAGCTTCCCCATGATCCGGGTCGAGGACCATCTAGGTCCGTCCAGATGTTGCCTAGGCTGGTCTAGGTCATCTAACAGCATCCAGGCCGTTCTAGGCGTCTCTACGAGTCTCCATTGAGTCGGTAAGTCTTCCAATGACGGTGTATAGGCGGGATAGGGGCTAAGGTCATGATGACCTCCGTAGGAGGGGTTCTTGGTTACATGTTATTGTAACAGATATGGGAGAGCGGAGCTGAGTACGGATTTGGTGTGCATGGTGTGGGCAGAGAAGATGGCTGTGTCGTTGGAGATATGGGAGAGCGGAGCTGAGTATGGATTTGGTGTGCATGGTGCGGGCAGAGGAGATGGCTGTGTCATTGGAGATATGGGAGAGTGGAGCTGAGTGCAGTCAGACGAGATGATGTTAAGAAAAGAGAGATCTACATACATATCTGGACACTGTAGTTCTGATTCAGACTGATAGAGGTGAAGTAAGGAGACATTGGAGCTGGTCACTGGCGTGCTGGACGTGATTTCATGCGCACAAACATGTCACTATCGATGTGGTCGACCATGAGGAATTCATCTCGGTGATCAGGATCAGGGAAACAAACAGCGCCACGAATGAAAGACTGGACTGGAACAAAGATCGAACTTGCCCTTGGGACAGCTTTGACACAAGTAAGTCGTAGATCACGGTCCGACCTGCGAGAAGCACCAATGCCAGCAGTGAATGGCTGAACCAGTGCAAACTCGAAGGAACCAACATCCAGAAGCTGACAACTGAATATGAAAACAAGGCGAACAAACACTGATACTTCCTGGGCGAGTTGTATAAGTGCGCAGTCATAGCGCGGTTGCCCATGGAAGCCTGGAGTGCATCGAAGGTAGTCGGTAGTTTGCTTCCAGTCGACGGTAGACTCGTAGTGAACTTTGAGAAAGCGATGTTCACGAATCTGGTTCAGAAATACATAAATCAGTACAAGACACATACTAAAACAAGATCAACTCACCAAGAAGTTTGTCGGTATGGTGACCCATCTTTCCAGTCGATATCCGTACATCGGTAATGAGTTGTTGATAAAATCGGAAAACTTCTTACGAAAGCCTTGAAACGCACGATCCAATTGGCCGCCGTGGGTCTCGATGTCTTGGATGGCTACGGGCTGTTGCGTCGAACCAAGTTTGATGTGCCCCTCGAAAGCAACAGGATTCGGGTCTTCATCGTCATCATTGCCCTCTCCTGCCAATGTGCGCCGCTCGTCAAGCACGTCCACGTGCGCTCTCAACATTTTGGCTGCGAATTTGCGCGTGTCAACACGCAGTATCTAACAAGATCTTTACATGAGTGAACATCAGATGCTATAATGTTAGAAACATACCTGGTCAGCGACGTCCTTTCCATTTGACTGGCGCTCGTAGGCCTCTTTGAGGGGGCCATGAAGCTTCTCATTCGGACGGGTGCTGTAGTTGCGTACTGCACCCTTCATTCGGATGTCCCTAGTTGCGTGCTTCCAGAGATGCGCCTTTGGAAAGTCCCAGTCAAGCTTGAGACCTACGATGGGAGAATTGAGAGCACATTCGATGTATTCCTAGAATGTGTGATCAACAATCTATTTAAAAAGTGAATGAACAAAACATTTACCTTGAGTGCGCTATCAAAAACGAGTAGTTCAGCATCAATTGCTGCCAGTGTGCTTGACGTATGCACGTCGAGACCAATATAGCTATCCAATTGCAGATAGCTACTAATAACGCGAAGAAGTTTATACCCTTCTGGGCTGGTCCTCTGGTTCAAGACGTTTACCGCAGAATAGAAGGCTTGCTGCGTGTCAGTTAGTATTAGAAAGCCAAAAGCCTCATGATACGTACCTTGGATAGATCTTGCATCTTGTTACCATCACTGAAGGTAATGTGGATGATGGTGCTGAAATGATTAAGATTGCGCCATCGAGGGAAACTAGCAACCCTACCGAAGGTCATGAGTTGACGAGAATCGCGATGTGAATGACTTACTGTTTCTCGACCTTTGACTCTTCATCACGTCCAAGCGCTTTGAGGATTTTCTTCAACTCCTCGAGTAGGTGCCTCCACATACCAAGATGGAGGGCATGAAGGCGGTCAAAACTGATGGCTTGATGAGGGTCAGAGTGCACAATGAGCCAGAAAACATTCTGTTGATGAGATATTAGTAACAAAAACATGGAGGTGAAACGAGAGAGTGAATATTGCCGATAACTTACCGTGACAGCACACAATCCTAATGCCTTTAGTAGTTCCTCGCCTCGAGCTTTGCTGACCTTGTAAACATTGAGTGCGGCTATTGCTTCTTCCACTGTTCTAAATGCAAACGTCTTTGATAGCTCGCTAAGTTCTTCGAGCAGTACAAGACATACTGGACAGGGACATTTGCTATGGTGGCCACGAATGAGAGACATCATACATCTAAAAACAGTCTAATATCAGATTGCGGACATGTGTAAGAATATAGAACTTACTGTTCTTCATAATCAGCAGAAAGTATCAGAATAATGGGAAACAACCAGCGTGCGATCTTGTCATAGCAAGTATGTGAATAACCAGACTTTGAGTGTTGCGCGACCAGTTCCAACAGTTTTAAGAATGCCTCGTGCCATATGACGCGCTTGAGGTTTACGAAGCCTGGCTTGCCTTCTTCGTCTGCATCTTCAGATACCTGCAACTATAATGAGTCACGTCAGAAGATTCAATCAGAATGTTGATGTACAATTGGCAACCACCTGACAACACGGCCACCGCCGATGCCCTCTCCGTTCCGTATGCCAACTGGCAAATTCGCGCAACGGACCACGACAGGATATCCCTTTACTGTACCGTGGGACGACAGTCTTGTCTTGTCCGCATACAGGATGAAGCAGAATGGAGCGGCCTTAATGTCACTTGGAAGGCGACTCTGATTTGTTGATGCTGAGTGAGAGTAGATAGTGATATTAACAAAGATTACATGCCTGGAAGTCCCACCATCGATCACCCATCCAAGGCTCGTTGTAAAAGCGTTCAAACTCCCTGCCGTTGTGCTTGAAAACTCGTTGTGCATCCCAGACAAAATGCGGAGCAAGCAGCGGATTAGCTAACAAATCAAGAGCCCAGTCCCACAGAGGCAGCGCGTGAGTCTCATACACTCGTTGTTCTTTTTTGTAAGGAACGGTGATGTCGTGTTTTACAAACTAATTCACAACATATATCATACAAAATGTGAGATTTATTAATGACATACCGGCGTCACCTGAGCAGCTGCGTGTTCCCAAGCTTTGCGCAGCTCATTATCATTTGAAAAAGTTACCCGGCTCTCTCCTCTCGATATGCGACCAATGAGCGCAAGGAGCGCATTAATTTGTGATTTATTGAGTGCGGCATTGAGTGCGATCTCCGCAAACTCGAAGTCGCCGCGGGAACAGAAAGGACGCCAGGGCTCTTCATTTACAGGGAGCTCTTCCTCAGGATGCAAATTGACGCCGAACTCCTCAAACGTTTGAAGGAGTGGTTCACGACCAGCAGAAGGATGATACATCGTTTTGAATTCCATGGGCTGTGGAGGAGGTATTGCAGGTTGCGGTTCAACAGAATGTCGCTGGCTGTTGGCTATGCAAAAGAATCAGTAAGCAATACAGGTGAATATGGTGCACACTTACCTAGGCTACCAGCACCTTCGAGGTTCCCATTGTAGTTCCCATTGTAGGCTTCGAAATCACCAGCGTCCAGGTTATCTGCTGGCAGCACAGGGTCAGCTAGTGTCAGTTGGTGTTGGAGGAGCACACAAAGAATACGTGAGACATACCTAGAGGACTATGATCCCTGATTGCAGGGGGCGCATTCTGAATCCCAGCAACTGATCGCGATGGGCCAGCGCTAGGGGGCGTTATCATGCCCATGTCAGTGTGAGCCTGCTGCCGAGCTGCATACCTCAATATTGTCAAAGGAAACATCAAGAGCGGGTAGCAGAGGACTCACCTCTTTTCTGATCTCGTGCATATTGAATGGCGAACTCCGCTTGTTCCGCCTTGGTGTCCTTCTGCTTCTTGCAGCTTGTTTCGTGCTTCTTGAAGCCTTGGGTCTTGAACTTCTTGCTACAATGCGGGCATAGAAGCTGCCCTGTCAGAGTTTCTTCGGAGAAGTTGTATTTGCTTCGATGAGTGCGAGAGGGACCCATGCTGATGGCGATGTGATATTGCACGATGGATGTATTGTTTATCGATGTCATTGCATAAGAATATCTCACGCTTTTGATGACCTCAGCCGCCTTGAAAGGCACTTTTAATGTACCTTTCAATGCACATGACCCAACTTGTAAGCCGGCGGCATTACAATGGCCTGTGACTTTTTTCTGACATTGTCACGTTATGTAATGATTTGCGGGTCACTGCATCTCACATTTCCCACACTCCTCCGAGTCCCATCGACGATCGTGCCCACCATACACACCCACCTATCCACTGAATAAGTATTAGTGCTGCTCATGCACTGCATTCCGCTGCAGTTCTTGCAACATGTTCAACTCGGTTGCTCTTGCACGTCATAATATCGTGTAGAATGTCACAGTGACACAAGTTGCGAACGCACATTTGATGAGCTTCACGACATCATGAGGACTTTCTGCTTGGTATATGGTTTGGACATCAATGAATACCACGAACACCAAACCAGAATAGCAACTGTGAGTGTGATGCCCTTTTTTGACAACTCAAATATTTTCCTTCAGAAACTCTACCACGTCACTGTCGCTGGTGAAGGGGCTGATGCCAAACGGCTTCTTGCCAGAGTTCAATGCATACCGAGACTCACTCTAGAAGACACGTCAAGTGGTATTCTTTTCATTCTATGCTCTAGTCTTATTGTATCAATACTCACTACTGCAAGGCTACAGCATCGAGATTCGAGACTCAGTAAGTACTGCTGTCGCTATTACTATTCATATCGCGCAATCATTTGTGTGTTATGTCTAGATAAGTTGCCGACTGCATGTGAACCGCAAACATAGTCGAAACTCTCGCGAAGCCATTCATTGGCACACTACATTAGCCAGGTAAGATCGTCAGCAGGCGAGTAGAATCGAGCACGCATGTGGGTGACCCATTTTTTCAATTATTTTGCTGCTTTGTGATCCTCGAAGAGCATTGTTTTCTCTCAATTTGTGTCGGTACATTCTAAGAACCAGGGACGCGAGCCATCTATTCATATTCAAATATACGGAAATCTAACCACTCGATGTTTCATAGGTGGCATCAAGCAGCATCACCACCTGTCTGAGTATCGATGGAACAATCTACGAAGATGGTGCTCGAGCGGCCCTATAGAGCAACCATCTTCCCTGGTTGGTTTGCGGATTTACGGATACAGGTAATCAGTGTAAGTTACCAGAGATGTACATGCAGTGGATTATTAAATGTATACAGCCATTACTAAAGCTACAGACGCAGATACTGGTGATACATAAATAACCAGCAGTGATGACACCCGTTGAAGTCTTCTATGGCAATAGGCTTACTCATAATAACGATAATGATGATGAAAGCCACGTAGATAGCACTATTATATGTCAGGAATAGATAATGTCTCTTATGTGAAATCAGACTAGGTCCTCGTTGGCTCAACGCCAACCAACATCAACCGTTGCACAGCTCAAAACACCAACCACACCCCGCTCACGACGACACCTAGTATAACGCTCATACCACCACACAGACTCCTCGACGCGCCGCTCGTACTACTGGTGCTGCTAGCAGCCGGCGTCGTCGTAGTTGTACTTGACGCCTGGAAGTGTCATGCGGCATCAGAATCGCCATCACAACAAAAAATGATCAACACGTACGGATGATGATGAGGCTGCTTCGTTGACCTGGATACCAGGATCCGGGTCTGTGCCTGTACTAGCAGCTGCTGACGTGGGAACCGCCTCAACTGGCCCAGAAGATGTTGCGCTGGCATCCAATACATGCAGCATGGGACGACCGAATTGTGGTACAGCAGAGGCTGTGATTGTGGGATCAATATAGGTACGCAGAAATACAGCGGCTGCACGTACCAGACATTGAAAACAAGCTGAGCGTTATCATGAACGCTGATACGGCGGTGATAAACGTCGAGCGGAAAATAAACATCATCTTGGCTTGCAAGTAGAGTTGAAAGAACGAATGAATGAGTGAGCGGGCGGTAGAGAACTCAAGGTATTGCTGCTGATTGACGCTCCGTTATAAGAAGAGAATAAAGGAAGGCGACTCTGAGGCTTGTAAGTACGAGCAGTTACTGTGCGGCTAATACTTCGTGACTCAACTATATAGCCCTGATTCCTGTTACAAGACGCGTCATATAGGGAAACTGCTGCGAAGATGGATGTCATCGATGAGAAGTATTGCTGTCTTCAAAGGAATGAATATTAATGGGACAACAAATGTCATGGGTACACTTACATTGCGGAGTTGCAGGGCCAATCGACCCGCAGTCTTTGTATTATTTACCAATCTAAACAGGTTCCACATAGGGCGAATCACTTGGTCGCATGCTGAATACAAGGAGTTGAGTAACTTCTGCGAAGTTTTTGACAAAGTGAGTCCCAAATACGGAAACAAGGCTGCGGCGTAAATGCGTGTGGGAAACCCTAACCCTAGATCATGGTTCATTATTCAAGAGAGGATGATCTGGAGCAAGGTGAATTGATAGAGCCACAAAATAAGGTACTAGTAAGCTAAGAGTGCGCACTGTAGGAACGATTGGAGGAGTAAACTCAATCGACATCATCCACCACTCCCGCCGGACAAGACTGTGGATTATTTATCGCAACGAACGTCACGCCCCCAGAATTACTTGATTGGCTTGATGCTTGGGAGGGATTGGGGGTATATGGCGGCTTTTGCTTGCTCTTTGGCTTTGCGAACTTGCGCTTCTGCTGTCTGCAGAAATCCCACAGTGCATCAAGGGCGTCGTAGAGGAAGACTTTACTTGGTTTCTCAGCGAGCCTTTGCCGTCAGTTCAATCAATTGATCTCAGGGATGAGTGGGGAGGAACACACCGTCCCGTCATCTCATCCACTATATCTGGTGCACCCAAGAACGGCATCATCTCAACGATTACAGTATACACTTTCAGCAACACCGACATCCCTCCCTTGATTGTCCGTCCCGCTTCTATCCAACCCGCAAGATGTGCCTTTAGGTTTGGACGGAAATCTTCCCGCAGGTCATCCATATCCGGATCCTGGATATCCATGTCAATGTACCCGAGCGGGTCGGCATCGTCCATAGCCCCTTCCATCCCAGGGGGGAGAGGAAGCCCCATCATAAGCGCCGCCAGTGCCATCGGATGGGCAGTGTCACTTGTAGGCGACACTACAGCACCTACCCAGCGGTCAATCCGCCCTCGTCGCCCCAGTGCCTCCAAATGCAATGCCATAATCTCAGTCAGCTCCGTCTTATTGGCCTGAACATCAATATGGCAAAATGCGTTCCGTACGGCGGCGTGGATGGCGTGCACAGTATTGAGCAGCTCTTTTTCGATGATGCGCAGTGCATTGAGCTGGTAGGATGGTTCTGTAGCAAGTATTATGGTTGCAAGCTGGTGTGCGGGCGCGTCGCAGGGACGCAGAAGGTAAGAGTGGCTGGCGAGTAGAGTATTGATATTATCTGTATGTGAATGCAACGCACATATCTGCAGTGCTGTGGCAAAATTCTCGGGGCTGTAGGTAGCTATGCGCATGAGTGTGGGGAAGAGCTCTTCGCAAAGGTCATCCTCGTCCGTTGCATCCGCTTCAGATATGTCACTGATACTTGCGAAGAGAATTGGACTGGGCGAGGTAGCAAAGATAGAAATGAGAGAGGTGCGAATGAGATTGCGGAGGGAGGTGCAAACGTTGTTGAACTTGCTAGACCAATGAGATGCGTGGGAACTACAAGGACATTGAGCATCGCTGCAAGCGGTGCCATCGGAGTTTGCGTCAGTGTCAGTGTACTCTTCGCTGTAGTCATCGTCATAATCGACATCATCATCGAAATCAAAATCGTCTTCGTCGTCATCGGCTGGTGCCATGGTGTAAAGGTCATCACAGTTTAATCGAGTCAGTGGAGCTTACATTTTTGACCACCGTAGAGTAATAGCTCGAGGGCGTTCCAGCCAAATTGGGAGCGAATATCGTCTAGCATATCTGGAATGGCAGACTTCTGACGCTTAGTGCCATCGGCAAGCATGACTACGAAAAGGTCGCGCCAAATCCAAAGCATGACACGATCGAGGTTGTGTGCGCCAGTGAAATGGAAAGATTTGACGACCTTGCCAGAGGAGCGCCTGATCTTTACAGAGATGTACATGTTCATAAAGGAACACTTGCACCTGAAATGATATAAGTTACACCAGGGAGGACATGAAGACACCTTACCCGACTCGCGCGTCACCGATCTGTTCGATTGCTTTAAACGCGTACAAAAGACAATCATGGGCCTTTGAAAAGTTTGTACCGTACTCGTATACGACTCTCCAAATATCATTGAGCCAGTCGATGACGCTCTCGATGGCTTCTGCGAGAAGTTCTTCTTTACGAGACTTTTCTTTCACATAAGAACGTTTGTGATCGCGGGCTAGTTCGTCCAGGAGTGAAGCGATCTCCAATTTCTTCGCTTTCAGGTTCAGGGATGGCATGCTAGCATATGTTTTGTGCATGCGTGCTGCCGATGCGAGAATGAGGTTTGATTTCGGTTTGGAAACCACATCAAGGAGGGGTGCAAGTGAGTTCTCGACAAGAGCGTACTGTGCATCGGCTGGAAGGGATTGGTAGAGCTGTAGAAACCTATTAGAGTGATGATGAACCTGAACTCGTGTTATAAACGTAAAATTAAGCTTACTTTGCACTGCCAGTGGTTGAGGTGGACGCCATCAAATGGGATTCGGATAAGTCGGAACTCGCCAGATCATCGTGTCTTCCGTAATGTGACATTTGTTCTTGTGACCGTGTTTCCATTCTGCCCCTTGGTGAGTATTGTTTTTGATATGAACGTAGGAAATACAACTGGCCCCAGCGCTACTAGCTATAGCTGGCTGATGCGGCGCCTTAACCTGGCACAGGAATGAAATGTCCTGTGCTGAGATTGGACCCGGACTTCCTTGTCAGGCTTTGCCTCGAGGCAACGCTTCCAATATCACGGCCCTTTTCCACCCCTACAGTCTGTTTGCAACGCAGCAAGCCACGTTGGAAACGCGCGTACGTTTGAACTTGCGCTGACTGGCGCATTCTTCAACTCGTTATCTCTCAGATCTATCCTTTGCTCTCTTCCACCATCAACAGCAAACACAACAAGTCACCGAGAGCTCAGATACAATTAGCCCATGACAACTTCACAGTCCCCACATAAACAAAGAAAAGTCCAAATGTTTTCCGGTGTTCAAGGTTTGTGCCATTTATTTTTTGCTCTCGTGCCTGTTGTTCCCATCGCAGCCTTGGCAAGTGTGGATCATCATCAACCATCACGATTAGCTTGTTCCGGGCGTTCGTGCGTTACCGATACATCCTTCACATCATCGTCTATTTTACGTCCACTACTACGATATCACACTTCTTCCATTGTCATTCACTAGTCGTTATTACAACGCTAGCGGATCTTCTCTTATCCAATAACCGCTCCAAACCCCAAAACTGACCCTTTATATCAGGTTCGTCCCAGAACACCCCACCTCGTGAAATGTCCCCATCTCCAAGACAAAGGACGATCAAGGCCCAATCCCTACCTATCGTACCATCCGTCATGCAGATTTACGGAGCAGCAACTCAGTCTGCGAATCAGCGTCAGGCACAACAAGCGAGTCCCACCACTGCAAACATCCCCCCGCAGTCAAAACGAACTTCCTCACCGCCGGCCCTCACGCAAGCCGCACCCAACGTGACGAAACTCCCATCTCCACTCAATCAGCCCTCTCATCTCCGAGAAGAAGCAATTCAGGGGCATTATTCTCCCTCGGCCTCTATGCACCCCAACATGCATCAAGCACCACCTCCCCAACATTCGCTCAGCCAGCCCAACATGCATCAGCCTCCTCCTCTACACCAACACTCGCTCAGTCAACCCAACATCCACGCTCACCTCATGAATCCACAAATGGGTTACCCACGCCCTATTAACAGGGTCCCTCCTCCCCAGTTCTTAACACACTTCCATGCAATGGAGGAGAATTGGCACATGACGGAAGAGCTCATGGCAGAGATTGAGCGAGCAGACTATGCGCAGGCCCTGAGTCAGCAGCCGCCTGTGCCTGGCATGTCTGGCGTCGCCTACGCTGGTGGCGCCGCGAGCGGCGCCGTGTACGTACGTGAGGTGCCGTCACCTCTCAAAGACCCCGTCGGTGATCGTGTCCGCGCGAACGAACGAACTAGTCCAAAAGATGCAGACGGTCAGGGGAGCGGCGGCATGCAGCGCTCCCGTTCCATTCGCGTTGTCGAACGCGAGAAGGAAGTACAGCCGAGCGATAGTGCTCGTGCACGCGAGCGTCCCCTCCCGTCTAGTCAGACTGGGTCTCCGTCCTACTCACCCTTGGGACACCGTGTGCCCTCTCCTGAGCGCATTTCTCCCCCTTACCACACGCCTACTGGCTCGTCGGGCGGTGAGAGTGTGACTGTAGTGGACGTAGACTACGTCTCGTATAAGCGGGACTCACATCAATCTAATGGAAGCTCTTCCCTTAGGCTTCCCAGTCCGCCGCTCACTGTGCGGAAAGCCATTGTCGCCGACAATGCTCGTGTCACGCCGCCTGCGGTCAGCAAATTTGCAAGCAATACACCTCCCCTGCAGGCGATGAAGACCCGCACTCCCGACAAGTCGCTGCCTGTCCAAGAAGAGCCAGAAGACGATATCGCAACCTCTAAGAACGGCGACGACTATGCTCATGGGAATGACTATAATGAGGATGATGATAATGACACTCTCATAGAAAATGACAATGACTTTCCCGTCGACGGTAACAGAGACCACGACGGAGAACTAGAATCGTATACCCCACGCTCACCCACTGCCAGCTTACCCGAACCATACTCTGCCAGGCAATACCCCACGCAGCCCGCAAATCAGCGCCTCTCAAGCCTCACAAAGCACCACCGCAGTGGCAGCACAGACCGTCTTGGCCTCCGAAGCTTCGACGCAGCCGTCTTTGAAAAGCCTCCCATCAGATCTACTGAGGAGCGCCGTGAGTCACCTGCACTTCCGGTGAGGCTGACTGAGCAGATTGACTCTGTACCAGAGCATAATCTGCGGCACGAACAAAGCCGCACATTTTCTGACACTCGTGGTGCAGAACAGCAGCAGCAACAGCAACAGCAACCGCAGCAGAGCAATGGACGGCTGCACCCACTTCAAAATCAAGTCTACTCGGATGATCAGAATCACGATGATGCTGCAGCTGCCTATATATCGCATTACTTCCAGTCTCCTCGTCCAGTTGCGCCCATACCGCCCACACCTCATAGCCAAACTGCTGCTCCATCACCATTGATATCTAGTATGCAAAGCATGCAAGCCAGCCCGGCACCTCCAGTAGGCTCACCCTATCCGTACCCATTCTCTCATGTTCGGCGCAACAACGTCTACTCTACCTATCCCATCCACACTGCGCCTTCCTCCAACTACGACCCCAACCATCCCTCGGTGATTGAAGAGCAACTCGCTCTCCAGATGCAGATGTACGCCTTGAACAACCATGCAGCATTATCTGACTCCACGTTCTCACCGTCGTCAACGCCCTTCCCTGGGGCTGGATACAACCCGTGGACGTTCTTGCAGGCATCTCGTGCGTTCGGAGGAGGCGTACGGCCGCGTTTTGACTCCACTGCAACGATGAGTATCCAGTCGAGCCCGAGCCATCAACCAGTCAGCCTTCCGTTCCCGACTGGCAAAATCAAGCGCCGTCAGGCATCCGCGGATCTGCGAGTCCAGAGCACGATTCGGAAGCGGAAGATCAAGCCGCCGCCACGTGTGGACAGTACACAGCCACGGGACACGAGCCCAGAGCCGTACTCGTCTGGTGAGGAGACCGCTGGCGAGGAACGCTTTGAGGTTGCTGAAGAGGGGAACTGGGTGAATGGGTTGGTGCCTGATGATGGTACTGAGTGGGTGGATGAGGACGAGGATGACAAGGATGAGTTGTTAGAGTTGGAGTATCACCCGAACTACGTCAACAACATCGAAAAGAGACGGAGGAGATGGGATACGCGTTGGGAAGCTCTGCAGCAGGCGGTGAGCTGACTTGTTGTCAAAAGTCATGGGTGGATGCTGACATTTGCCATCGTATTATCGTAGTTCGAAGCGCTTGATTGCGAGACTGATACAACGATGGTCCTGCTTGCTGCACCTTCGCATTCTACAAAACTACATGCCTTGACATCACGCTCTATTCGTCGTGAAATAGGGACCCAGTCTCCGAGCATGCTTAACATCCGAAACTCTTTCCGAGGCATTGCTGCTCGCCGACGAGCATCCCGCGCCAAGGGCACGACGCTTGTTGAGAGGCTCCTCAACTCGACTTCTTCTGGTGATGGTTCCGACTGCAGTTCGGAATCACGGGAAGACGACCTCAAGCGTGCGCTCGAGACTGCTCTCGGCAGTCTCGGTGCCCTTCGCTCGATATACGACCACCGCGTCGCGCGCTGGGAGGACGAGATGGGGCGCATCAACGACGAGCGGGACCGTGTTGAAATGCTACTTCGCCAGACCCTGGGTGTCGGTTTGCAGAACGGTAATGGCCTTCCTAACGTGTAACTTACTCAATGTTGTGATCTACGCCGGCGATGTATGCACTCGTATGACCCTACTGTCCTATGCTGTACTGTACTTATGCACGCTGTCTATGATGTCCAACACCTCACCATGTCTAGATATGTTCATCTGGTGGATTACCCCGCTGATCCATGTACATAATGCGTCATGCTTGCTATTATTATTGTACACCTGTCCTTGAGTGTCCACTACGTTTCTAGGTCCTTGGAAAATCGTGAATAATTATAAGAAAAAGGTCGTGGATTACAATTCGTCCGAGAAGACTCGCTGGGCTGGCGTGAGAGAATGTTCCAAGGTCTCTAACCATGCTCTGAGAATGCCATTGAATACTTGTGGGTGCTCGAGATGGGGCCAGTGGGCACCCTCCATTGTCTGCATTCAATTGTTACGTAGTCCTTGGCAAAAGATCAAATCACACACCTTGGTCGTCAATTGTGGCAGGAAGGCCGCGGAGTTCAAGTATTTGGCAGCGAATACCCAGTCTGCGACGGGATCCTGGGGTGGTGCGCATGAGTAAGGTCCTGCAATCAGACAGACGACCCACGTTTAGAGGTAAAACAGACAAGACAGGCTGGGGAATGGTGTAATTTCCTTGCGCTTGAGTAGATTGCCATGTTCCATAACGGTTCTAAGCACATCGTTCAGTTATGAGTTCATTGCAAGAAGATATCTACGCACTCCGCGAGTGTAGAATAAGAGACCTGCAGGGTATCGATTAGCTTAGAATGGTATCTGATGGATTCTGTTTCGTACTATGGTCAAATTTCTGTATGCTGAACCGTTCGACAAAATACTTTTCATCGGAAGAACTGAAAAAGGGGATCGGAGGAATCTAGTCAAGGTTAGTAGACTTTATGCTAAAATGAAGGCTAATCATACCTCCGTCACATTGTCATATGCACTGAGATAAGTAGTGGTGCTTGTGAGGAAGCTGTCTGGAGGGGTGCTGTTTACCGTGCGCAACGTAGCACGTAGGCTTCTCCTGATATTCTTATTCAGCTCAGCTATGGCTTCTGTTGTGTGGTTCTCGAAGAAAACTTGGTAAGCTAGCTTGGGCATGACTGCTGCGAGCTGAGCGCTGTCTGCAAAAGGGCCAGCAGCGTGCAAATACTGGTTACGATTGTTGGGCAGGGAAATTAATGAAACAGTGATCTGTTTACCGGAACGGTCACGCCGACCAAGGCATAGAAGATATCAGGTCGTCTCCTCGCAGCCTCGTAGCAGACTTCAGCACCCCAGTCATGACTAGTATAAAGATATTAGGTAAGTCGGACCAGATCTTCTGCAAAACACACCCGAGGCAAATAGCAGATTGAATCCCGACATGTTCGAGAACACAAGTGAGATCACCAGTGATATCAGCCAACGTGCTGGACGACTGTACATCTGCGGGATGTGTTGAACCCCCGAAACCACGAACGTCGATAGCAATCATACGATACTCGTCCTGAAACAAATCAACATGACGGTCGTCAGCTGATGGAAGAGATGTTTACGTCGAACTCTTCGATTTGGTACACCCAGGAGCTCCAGAGACTGGGCCAGCCGTGGACCATGATGATGCTCTTCTCCGCGGTCGGGTTGACGTCTACATAATCTATGACAAGAATAAGTATCTCCGTGGGCAAGGAGCGCGCATATAAGGGTACCAATGATAATATCAACCTCCTCATGCAGGATGCGATCCACAGCTCTGCAAGTGGTAGACTGGATGGTATACGCCCATGGATTGAAGGCAGCAGCTCCCGCCACGAAGGAGAAGGAAAAAGGAAGAGCCAGGTAGGTAGACCAGTGCATTGGGCGTAGTTCTTTTAAAAGTTCAATTGACTCGCTAGTAGCTCACTAACTGAACGAACTTCAACTTCAAGGATCAGCATGGAAGATGCCGCTTGGAATTCTGTGTGCCATTGATATTATACTGTTGCTACCTGCAATAACTGGGCGGATTTCGGCGTAATAATCAGATCCATCGTGCGTTAACTGTGTGCCCGTATATGCAGACTCCAGAGTAAATAAAAAGAGGATCAAGTAACAAGTTGTCGAGTCCTTGTTTTTTGTTCGACCTTGGCCGTTGTCGATGTCAAAATCGGATTTAGTAAAAGCAAGTGAAAACAAAGATCAACAAGCGACAATGCCCTACCGACAACTTGAACTTGAACGCTGCTATTTCAGTACTAGTCCATCTGTGAAAAACATCAAACAGCTTATGAATGACGTCCCATTGCGTCTGGAGTTGATACCACTGCAGTCTCGAGATGAGTGTCAGTAAATGGATGGAAGTTCCACCTTTCTCCATGGCTAGGTCCCCGCAATCCTTATCTCCTCTTATCCAGCATGCGTCATTTATTGGGAGTTTAAATGCATGCTGCTTGCCTTGCCATCGCACGTCTTGAAGGTTTTGCGTTCATTTTCGCTTAATAGATAATGAATGTCGGCTATGAAGATAGTCTTATGAGAGTCGTTTGACATGGGCTATGGAATCGAGTGTCATCTGCGCTTACACTCTACCAGATCCTGCGTTTCCTCCACGACTATGGAAGCCCTTGAGGTCATGGTCTTGTGTTTACGGATCCCAGTGCGCTCCGTTGAGCGCAATTGTATCCTTGTAGCAGGCAATATTCAAACAGGGAAATACAAAAGCTGTGCTATTGAGATGTATTAGACACCAAGGTGGTACAAGAACGAGCGTGAGTGCTTGAGCTTTGGTGACTGTTAGGGGCAAACACGACTCAGACACGTAGTCCCACGCATTGACTGTGATTCAGGTTACCGGTGGCATGGCACTCGTCCAATTCAACTTTGTCTGCGATACTATGTGAAATGGGAAGTATTCATCTAAGGAGTGTCTCTAAACCCCATCAGGTACTGCATAATCTGGAAGGAGGCCTGTAATTATCCGTCTCTGCGTTAGACGGTGTCTGCATGATAGCACTGTCAGACTTACTACTGGCGCAAACCCTGGAAGCCTGGTGCGGAAAACATCAGCGCTCAGCAACGAGACCCTGCGAATTGTAGTGAACTTACATGTGTCCACTCAAGACTACTTCGTAATAAGTGAGTCCCCGCTCTGAGTGCATCGAACCGTAGGCACCCACACCATCAACAATGAAGCTGTCATCGGCGATAGGCGTCTGGAATCCTTGCAAACCATTCCCTAGGAATATAATGAGTGAATCTTGGCGTACATGAAACATCACTAGTCACACACAGGTCATGCTACAAATGATCCTCATCGATCAAGGTGATACAATCACGATCAAGAACGAACTTACTTTTGAATGGCAATTCTGTCTCTAAGTCATCAAACCATTGCGTCAGGATTAGGGTCAAAATTGAAGTCATACCCATCAGCAATGTACATAAAGTCCGCGAGTCCGTGCACGATGACGGTTCGCTGGCTCTTCTCGATAACATTGGGCAATACAGTGAGTGCAGAGGGTAAGCTGCTGTCTTCCTTGAGGAAGACATGGGCCAAAGCGCATTCAATCCACTCGGTATCCACGGGCGCGTGGATAACTTCCTTTACGTCTGTTAGGTTGAAGTAGATCGGAGACTGCGTGTCTCTAGATCTGCGTCAGCTGGGCTGCATTGAGTCAATTATTGAATGGCTTACAGAAACCCTAGGACATCCCATGGAGTCGGATACTTAGGAGGAAAAGAAGTTAATACGTTATCCATCAATATCCTCTTCGACTCACAGTGTCCCAGATGCGATAGACATTAAAAGAGGGGTTGATAATTTGCGCATTATTGTAAATGTCGCTCCAGATATCGCAGCCTTGAGCAAAATAGGTAGAGTCTCCTGGCAGCGGAAGAAGACCTTTTGGAGGGTATGTCACGTACTTATCCATGTAGCCAGTGTAATTGCACGTCGCGGCCATCTCTTCGAGGTATTCCATGTACGTTTGACTAGATATCAATCAGTGAGTGACCTGCAAACTAGGTCCGAGTGAAATGGACAAACTTAAAAGAGAAGAGACTAGCGTGCTTTTTCACGAAGTCCAATGCAGGGATTTCCTGTTGCACCACATACCACGAGATGAAGGCTGAGCTTCACGTATAAGCCCTTGAGAAGAGACAGAGCAATTCAAAATGTTATTTACGATCATTGATCCATATCCCTTGCAACGAGAGGTCTAGCCGACTCGGGTTCTCGTAGATATAGTTTGCGATATCTTCATTTGTCTTAGAGTTACGTTCAAAGAAGATGACTGCTGACTCACAAGGCACGTATCTTCCAGCATACTGAATACGGTCAATACAATGTTTTACCGCGCTCTCTGAGAACTTACACTTTCACCCGATAAATACAGCTTTTTACCTTTGAGTTCCGAAAAGACCTCAAGGATCTGCTGCATAAAGCCGACGAGTTGAATAGCGACATCGTCCTCGTTCTGTGCGTCCGGGATGCCTTGGGAAAATCCCGTACCGACAGGTTGCTCCACCCAAAGCACGGAGGACAGGTTGGTCCAGCTGTGTTGGTTCACCGTTGGTTTTGTCTGACCCCAGGACCAACTGAAAGGCTTCAAACATCTCGGTTATAGATGAGTCTTGTCGTCAACAAAGAGGCTCACCCCATTTTCTTGCAGCAAACCTGCGAGGGAGGAGCATCCAGGTCCACCATTCGTCCTTCAAGTAGAACATGCCATGTCAGCAGCGAAGAGCTTAGAGCACACCGCTTTTGATGACGCACCAAAAAATCAAATCATCAAGACTCCCTTGGGGGCCGGGAGGGAAAAACCAAAAAAAGAGCTGATGTCCTTGATGTCAACACTTGAAAGACGTGCATAGACTACTCAGGTACACACCTGATGCGTCTCATTAGGACTGTTGCTGATGGGCAGAAGACCCGCCCAGCTAGGACCAACGTCGAAGTCAACAAGAGGAAGCGATTTGCCATCGACGTAAAATTCTGGACGAAGATGCATCAGACGTATAAGATATTTACTTGTAGCATTTCAGTCACCTGAGGCCTTGGGGTTGGTGAATGTGATATTCTGAACACCACCGCTTTTTACGTTCTGAGAGCCACTAGTCTGCCAACGTTTTGCTGCCTCGAGTCGGCGTTCGTTCACCTCTTGCATGGTCATCATACGACCGCTGGCGGCGGTCACGGCGAGCAGAGCCGCAAACACGGCAAGACGACGCATCACGGTCGAATAAGCCAAGAGTTTGTGAGGGGGAAATGGCGAGTCGTATCTAAAATGCGTGTTTCTCGGACGAACATTCAGATAAATTCAAATGTATGTGATGCGGGTCGCCACAGCAGGGAATGGGTGCACCCAAGCGGCAGAATATCCGAGCCGAGTTCTACCAACCGGTTTGGCTGAATTAGTTGTGGCAGTCGGCAGAACCTCTGTTCGAGAGCAAAACCTCGCAGAACCCCAGGCTCAGAGCAACAAGACATTACTGTTGCTATAGCTGGACAAATTCCGGCGTAAAAATCAGGCCCATGCGTTGCAGAGCAAATAGAAGGAGGATTAATATTGTCGTCGAGTCCTTTACTATTGGTTACCACTTGCTCGTGCACACCACATTTCGTGCAGTCACAGAAAAGTCACGGAAAGTCACGGTTTAGTCACACTGACTTTTCACAGTCACCGACCCGAGTGCGTGCGTCGCCATAGTACTAGTAGCAAATGAAAGAAGAGAGGAGACCAAACTATCAGCGCGCAACAACACAGCATGACGTGATGGACGCAATTGCACCCAATCCCGGCGCTATAGATATGGGGAGCAAGTATTTATCTAAGGAGTGTCTCTAAACCCCATCAGGTACTGCATAATCTGGAAGGAGGCCTGTAATTATCCGTCTCTGCGTTAGACGGTGTCTGCATGATGGCACTGTTAGACTTACTACTGGCGCAAACTGTGGAAGCCTAGTGCAGAAAACATTAGCAACGAGACCCTACGAATTGTAGTGACCTTACATATGTCCACTCAAGACTACTTCATAATAGGTGAGTCCCCGTTCTGAGTGCATCGACCCGTAGGCACCCACCCCATCGACAATGAAGCTGTCATCGGCGATAGGCGTCTGGAATCCTTGCATACCATTCCCTTGGAATATGATGAGTGAATCTTGGCGTACATCAAACATCACTAGTCACACACAGGTCATGCTACAAATGATCCCCATCGTTTAAGGTGATACAGACACGATCAAGAACGCACTTACTTTTGAATAGCAATTCTGTCTCTAAGTCATCAAACCATTGCGTCAGAGTATACGAAGATTAGGGTCGAAATTGAAGTCATACCCATCAGCAATGAACATGAACTCCGCGAGTCCGTGAACGATGACGGTCCGCTGGCTTTTCTCAATAACGTTGGGCAATACAGTGAGTGCAGAGGGTAAGCTGCTGTCATCGTTGGGGAAGACATAGGTCGAGGTGCATACAATCCACTCGGTATCCACGGGCGCGTGGATAGCTTCTTTTACGTCTGTTAGGTTGAAGTAGATCGGAGACTGCGTATCTCTGAATCTGCGTCAGCTGGGCTGCATTGAGTCAATTATTGAATGGCTTACAAAAAACCTAGGACATCCCATGGACTCGGATACTTGGAAGGAAAAAAAGTTAATATGTTATCCATCAATATCCTCTTCGACTCACAGTGTCCCAGATGCGATAGATATCAAAAGAGGGGTTGATAATCAGCGAATTATTGTAAATATCGCCCCAGATATCGCAGCCTTGAGCAAAATCGGTAGAGTCTCCTGGCAGCGGAAGAAGACCTTTTGGAGGGTATGTCACGTACTTATCCATGTAGCCAGTGTAATTGCACGTCGCGGCCATCTCGTCGAGGTAGTCCATGTACGTGTGACTAGATATCAATCGGTGAGTAACCTGTAAACTAGGTCCGATTGAAATGGACAAACTTAAAAGAGAAGAGACTAGCGTGTTTTTTCACGAAGTCCAATGCAGGGATTTCCTGTTGCACCACAAACCATGAGATTAAGGCTGAGCTTCACGTATAAGCCCTTGAGAAGAGATAGAGTAAGTCAAAAATGTCATTTACGATCATTGATCCATATCCCTTGCAACAAGAGGTCTAGCCGACTCGGGTCCTCGTAGATATAGTTTGCGATATCTTCATTTGTCTTAGAGTTAAGTTCAAAGAATACGACTGCTGACTCACAAGGCACGTACATTCCAGCATACTGAATAAAGTCAGTACGATGTTTTACTGGAGTCTCTGATAACTTACACTTTCACCCGATAGATACAGCTTTTTACCTTTGAGTTCCGAAAAGACCTCAAGGAACTGCTGCATGAAGCCGACGACTTGAGCAGCAATATCTTCCTCGTTCTGAGCGTCCGGGATGCCTTGAGAAAATCCCGTACCGACAGGTTGCTCCACCCAAAGCACGGAGGACAGGTTGGTCCAGCTGTGTTGGTTCACCGTTGGTGCTGCCTGACCCCAGGACCAACTGAAAGGCTTCAAACATCTCGGTTATAGATGAGTCTTGTCGTCAACAAAGAGGCTTACCCCATTCTCTTCCAGTAAACCTGCGAGGGAGGAGCATCCAGGTCCACCATTCGTCCTTGAAGTGGAACATGTCAGGTCAGCAACGAAAAGCTTAGAGCACACCGCTTTTGATGACGCACCAAAAAATCAAATCATCAAGACTCCCTTGGGGGCCGGGAGGGAAAAACCAAAAAAAGAGCTGATGTCCTTGATGTCAACACTTGAAGGACGTGGATAAAATGCTCGTGTACACACCTTACGCGTCTCATTAGGACTGTTGCTGATGGGCAGAAGACCTGCCCAGCTAGGACCAACGTCGAAGTCAACAAGAGGAAGAGATTTGCCATCGACGTAAAATTCTGGACGAATTAGACGTATGAGATATTTACTTGTAGCATTTCAGTCACCTGAGGCCTTGGGGTTCGTGAATGTGATATTCTGAACACCACCGCTCTTTACGTTCTGAGAGCCACTAGTCTGCCAACGTTTTACTGCCTCGAGTCGGCGTTCGTTCACCTCTTGCATGGTCATAAACCGACCGCTGGCGGTGGCCACTGCGAGCAGAGTCGCAAACACGGCAAGAAGACGCATCACAGTCGAATAAGCTAAGAGTTTGTGAGGGTGAAATGGCGAGTCGTATCTAAAGTACGTGTTTCCGGAACGAACATTCAGATAAATCAAGTGTATACGAGGCGGGTCGCCATAGCAGGCAATGGGTGCGCTCAAGTGGCAGAATTACTGAGCCGAATTCTACCAACCGGTTTGGCTGAATTGGTGCTGGCAGTCGGCAGAACTTCTGTTCGAGAGCAGAACCTAGCAGAACCCCAGGCTCAGTAGAGCAACAAAACATTACTGTTGCTATAGCTGGACAAATTCCGGCGTAACAATCAGGCCCATGCGTCGACTGTGGGCCCGTATGCAGAGCAAATATTGAAATAGAAGGAGGATTGTCGTCCTGATGCTAGCGGAAACAGGTGAAAACAACGATCAACAAACGACAATTGAATCATACCCTGCGGAAAACAAATAACTTGAACGTATCTGCTATTCCAGTATTGGTCCATCTGTGAAAACAATCGTCCACGTCATGTGTCGGATCAACCCATCGAGATTCCATGCAGTGACAGCGCACACCAAAAAACCCATGAATGACGCCCCATTGCGTCTCGAGTTTGATACCACTGCAGTCTCGAGATGAGTGTCGGTAAATGGAAGTTCTCACCTTTCTCCATAGCCAGGTCCCAACAATCCTTATCTCCTCTTATCCAGCATGCTTCATTTCTTGGGAGTTAGATCGGGGTGAGCCTGCTCGTACACACGACTTCGGCCATAGCCCCGAGGAAGCTGACTGATTCTTGACGATGCCAGGCCTGGACTCAGTGACACTGAGGGGCGAACGAGATGGGACGTTAGCAACACCCAGTTCTGATTCTGAAGATGACGCGGTGTCAATGGCAGGCCGGAGGATAAAAATGGAACGTAACCTCCAAGGAGGACCTTGCTAGGCCTTGGCAGGCCACAACATATACAGTTGGAGTGAGATCGTCTTCTGGTGAAGTAAATTTCTAGGTATGTGATACGGTCGTCTACTACCACACCACTACCCTTTCCGCGAGTGTAGCTATTTGCGATGTTCGGTCGACATCATTGGCAGTGATAGATCTCCTCCGGTATCAATGTCACTTTTTAGAGCGCAGCCCGATAAAGGGGCGCTGAGCCAGACCGATGAAAAACGATCACAAAAATACATCGTATTACAACTCAGCCCAACGGCGAACTAGTATTGGGCAAATCCTGCTACAGTGCCGTAGCTAATGCAACGTAAGTACACATGTTGGCACATGGTTACTTATAAGGCAACTTATAGATCGATGGGTTTAAGGTTGTCCGTATCAAGGAGACAATGCACGGTCAACTTCGTTATCTTGCAGGGAGCCTTTACTTCGCATTTCAATTGCGTTGTCGCTGTCGTGTTTTCCACTATTATTTGGATCGACGCTTGTTATGTAAGTACCAGTCGATGGAATGTAGCGAGAGCCCATTTACGCTTTCCTTTTTTTCAGGGCACATCCTACTAGAAGTGCCGCACTTGACACAATCTCATTTCATAGGAACAGACTGGTTGTTCCTGTGACAAATATATCGAGGCTTTATATATGTAAGTTGTGCTTCGTGCTGTTTGAGGGTTCTGATGTGTATCCTGCACCAAATGAAAGCGAAAAAGGTACACGATATTATTGGTACAAGCGTGTGATTACGCATTCATGACATTCAGTAAGTTCAGTCTAGTCTAAAATTCAGGGTAACGGATGCCCTCTAACTGCCAAGGTAGCGTGCTTGACGAACCCAGCAACCCGCCTCAAGCTGACTTACACTGCTCGCAGTAGTAATAGTACTGTCGCCAACCAACTCAGATCGACCGCGCTGTTGAATTGAATCGCAACACTTACCAAGTCGGGAACGGTGTAGCAGCAAGCTGCTAGGTAGCCACTTGCACAACTTTCTGCGTAGCTTTGACACTCCTCATCGTTTACGTTGCCCGGTTGAGATAGATCCTTTACAATGCAGGTAAGCCAAAGTGTATCCCGCTATTTATTAATTTCTCTCACCTCCTGGCAGCAGCGAGCCGTGCCTGAACCACAGTCAGTCGAATTATTCGACGCCTTAACACTGGCTTGCAAAACGAGGAGCAAGATGACAGAAAACAAAAAGACACGGACGACCATATTGATTAGCCCCTTGGAAGTTCGAACGAGTGCCATTTGAACAAAACGGCCAGCGTCTTATAGCGTGAACGCGTTCATTTTACTGCGGAAGAACTTTTGACGTAGATAGCCTCGGTGAAGTGTGATTTTGAAATAAAAGCCCATGCTTCATCTCACGCTGCGTTTTCCCGGGAAATGACCACCACAGCCCAGTGGCCAGGCTGTTCGATTGGTGTTCAAAGGGGGGATGCTCTAGAAGAACCACAGTCCCAAC